GCCATTCTTGTTCAGCTAATAAAAAGAGAAATAACATATACCATTAATACCAGTGACTCGATATAATCATTGTCCGCCAGTTCCTCAGTTTCAAAAAATTCTGATAAATAAAGTAAAAAACCTTTTGGCCAAGAAATAAATAAAAAAAAAAGTTTCACTAATTATAAAATTATTAATTAAATAAATTAAGAAAAAAGTTTCACTAATTATAAAATTATTAATTATATATCTGATTTGAATAGAGTTTACCTATTTCAAAAAATAATATATTACCTGTTAACTCCCGTTGGTGTTTGCTTTGTTTTCTCGGAGTGGGACCTGCTTCTTCACCTGAAGTGCTCAACTCTTCACACTAAAAATCAAAATATAATTTATTCCTATTTTCCATGTTCACTCATAAACCTGCATACAAAAATGAAATTGCTAGTTTAGAGAGGGAAGAAAAGAACTGTCAAGAAACCCTCCGCCACTCATTTCGTCAAGTTTTTGAAGTTTTACTTCTTTAGGCGCGTTACGAAAAATTGATGAGAGTGAAATTTTACGATGCGCGCGCACCGTGACACAAAATTAACAGAATGAAGTTGCCCACGGAAGATGCCACGGCATTGGACATAAATTAAATAGAATTTATTTTACACTTAATGTAAGAGAATAATAATAAATATTTATTTATTTAATTTTTCAAGTGTAAACTGAACTTTTTTGACTATAATGGCTCCTTTTCCAGTCTTTGATTATTTAATTGTAATTAATTATTTGCATGCAATCAAAAACTATTTTTAATAATGCCAAAGAAGTATAACTTCTTACGCGCGTACATAAGTACACGCACCCTTTTTTATTTTACAAGAAGCATGTAAGGAATATAACTACATGTATTTTTATATATATAATTGTACTGTACGTGTGTATGTCACTGAAACTATTAAACGGCTGGACCGATTTGAATGGATATTTTGTATGCGTTTGGGTGGTGCCCTGGATGGTTTAGATTCACAAATCAGCCTAGCAGATGGCGCTGCAGTCGGTATCTATTTATCTATACAGCAAATAAACAGCTGGTATATGTATAAACCTTCTGAAATGTGTTCGTAATTAAGCGCCTAAACGGCTGGGCAGATTTTGATGAAATTTTTTGTTTGTTCAAGTGGAGTCGAGAATGATTTACATTATTAGATTTTTTTTTGTACGTAAGACGTGTGTACTGGACAACGTGTGTCGGACCCGCTAGTACTACATATAATATACTATATTTTATATATAACCTTTGAGAAAAATAAAAATAAGAAAAAATATTTAATTCTCCTCATCAGCAATAGGCATGGCAAAAGGAAACAATTGCTCATATAATGATACTCACCGGGTCATCATCGGAATTAGTTTGATCCATGCTGACGCTGGCTTCAGACGAAGAGCGATGTGGCTTACAAGCCGGTGGAGGTAAACGAGCCGGTTCACCCACAGGACTGTTCACAGACACACCGGCACGTCCTCGTGACCACATAGCTCGCATCAATGCTGACGCTAAGTAGAGACTCTGCAAAGTAACACGAATTATATCATTTCTTTCTTTAATGTATTAATTTTATTTTATTTATTTATAAAAACACTCCTGCCTTAACAGGTGACCCTAAATTGACACGAGCGAACAATAAGTAATATACCTATACAGACGAAACAATAAAACAAACATATGAAACATACATACATAATAAAAATACAAGAAATTTACTAACTACTATAGGCAGTAACAAATAATACAACTTACCTAACTTAACATTTAATGAAATTACATTATTCTTTTGTTATACGTGATTGGTTAATATCAAATAAAATATTATCATCTAAAGCACCCCAGTTCATCCAGGAAATGTACATAAACATTATAAGCGATATAGAAATTAAGAAATCATTGTAGGGCAGACATGTATCTTACAATAATAAATTTTCGTTATGGACAAATATCCTTATTAGTTGAAACCGAAATAAATGTGTAGCAGGGGAAATTTTACACATACAAAAATATATTTACTAATCCAGTATCTAATTTAAACAAAAAAAAGTACAAACCTATGAATGTAAGATTTATAATACTATCAAGATACAACCAAACATTATATATGAAACAGAGAAATAGAAAGCAACAGTTACCTGTTCTGTGTGCTCTTTTGGAGGCAATGCACATAGTAAGCTGTATAGATGGGCGCAAGGTTTTGGAGATAATGCTCTGATAAATCCAGGTAAGAGATCATAGACTTGGCGTCCACAATGTTTGAGTTGAGTCGCCGCCCATACAAGCTCAACATGCTCTGAGGTGATCCGGCCTTCCACGGCTAAGAACTTTAGGATCATGTGAGACTGTTTTATTACCTGAAAACAATGTTTGTTAAGACAAAGAGTTGGAAAAATTTAATCTGAAAGTATACTTATCAGCAATTAGAAGACACAGCAGCGAAGGTATATAATTCTGAGTGTTGTGTTTTAGTACCAACTAACTTTAGTTTTATTTGAGATTATTTATTTCCCATAAGAAGAAGCAAATAAGTCCCATTCTAGCATATCAGCTGTTATAAATAATTAATATCTATTTTTAAACAATATTTTTATTAATAATAAACAGAATAGATCAACAAGTTTTTAGGCATAATCAAAAAGCATAAGAAATATTAAATAATTCTTTCTAAGGAAATAATAAATGTGAAGTCCTGTTACCTCAACATGTAAATTAGGGCCAAATAGATGTTCAATTATGTCGTGGAAGGATAACCAACAAGCGAGCTGCTGTCCAGAGGTCTCAGCATCAGCAGCAGAGTCTCCAGCGCATAGTTCATTATGAGCTGCAATGTGTGCATTAATCTGAGCAATACCAGCCAGCCTCATAGTCAATGTACTACTGTTAAAGTACTTGAAGGCTAGAGCCAATCCATCCATATCAATTAGTGATGGTGAGTCTAATGGCTCTTTTGCTGCACCCCACATGAAATCTGTAAAATATTATTATTATAGTCATTATAGTTAAGCCCACAATATCTTCAATAATATTAAAGAGAAGTAAAAATCAATCAGGCAATCAAATCAACATAAAGAAAACACTAAAATTTCTCTACTCGCCTGCCATAGACTTGACAGCTGGCAATCGCAGGTCCTTGTCTTCTAAATTACACATATATTTCATTATTCTATTTCTTAATGGCATAAATTGTTGTCCGACAGCTCTAAAGTTTAACCATAGCTTCAAATTCCCAACTGCTGCAACAATTGCATGAGCCATAGACAGTGGTAAAGTTTTTGGTGTGGCATTTTCAAAAACTGTAGTCATTGCAAAAACTCCACCCAGTTTACAGAAGAGATTTACATTTCTTAAGAGATATGGTGGTATTTCTGTATCATGAAGATCACAATAAGAGCTAAGATTTGTTATTTCTTGGGCTGAGAGATCATCGAGTCGACTTAATGCAGAGTGTTTGCAAGCTAAGTACAATGGAAAGTTGTGTAAGAACACTTTTGATATGATATGAAGAAGCTTTTCTCGTTGTTGTAATGACCATGTTTCAGTCTCTATACTAGATGAAGAGTTTTCAGGGTTTGATGATTCTCCTTTGTTTTGGTCAGTGCATTCAGAGGGTGTTGCACTTTCTTCTTTTAAACAATTTTCTTCAGCCTCCTCTTTATCATCACCATCTGCCTTGTTGTTTTCTTCATCATTTGGTTTTTCTTTACTATCGGTGGTCAGTGGGGTGTTGGCAGCAACAACCAATTCATCTTTAAGTACTTTTAATTGATATACAGAGAGGCAAATAATACTTTGAACTACTAAGTAAAACCTCTCAAAGTTTTTTACATCACGATAACAACACATACATTGCCTGAAAAAGAAAATTATTTTATGAAATTGTCTCAATTAAAATACCCTCGCATTTTAAGAAGACTTAACACTGGTCACCAAAAAACAATCAAGATACTTCGCGTTCTAATACATCAGGTTTTACTTCTAAACAATATATAAAAAATACCTTTGAGGCCAGGATAGTATGTAATTTAATACTGTATCTAGCTCCGTTTGGCTTATTGATGGATATTGGGACACATCATCGGTTAACCGTGTTTCACCTGAAAATACGATAAGTGTTTAAGACAAATAGGAAGGACGGTTCTTACCGGTCTTATTGGTAATAAGCAAGAGCATTTATTCACACAAATAAAAGACTTTTACTCTTAAGAAAATGAACAATCAAATTTCGAAACAAAGTAACTTACAATTTACTAAAAGCTGAGAAAACTCCGAGCAAACATCACACATTCTCAAAGATTTTTAAGAAAAAGAAGCGAAATATTGTTAAAATATTATCGCAAATTTTGTTTTGTTTGAGATATTGATCATTATTGATATTTTCGTATCAGAAAACGAACTCTACTTCTAAAATGTCAAAGAATTCATTCACAATAAATCCACCATTGTTGACCATCTGCTGTCAATTGTCAAAGTTGAGAAAAACTTGAATGAGTGTTTCTTTTCAGAATATAATATGAATTATTATTTAGTACAAAAAAGCATTAAAATATTTATTTTATTAATTTTTTTCATATAAATTTGATGTGGGTCTTGAGTGACATCCCCTAAACTGAGAAAACACCTCCCACGACTACTCAAAAAGAAGAAAAAAGATGTCTAGGGCAATGATAAAACAAGAGAGTTGCAACGGTATCGAAATCGTAATAAATTAAAGATAGAGGTAAAAGTGAGAATAATTATGTTTTAAGGTCAAATTATATTTATAAGATAGATTCTTCGAAGATATCTACGTAATGATATCTGTAATGTCACTATCAAATATCAATAAATCCTAGACAACTGTTAGACAGCTGATTTATGTTTTGACAGCAAAAATCAAGTCCAAGAAATGTGAAAAATAGAAATTGAAAGAATGTGTTTTCGCACATAAAATGATTTTATTTTAAAAAAAGTACTCTATATTTTGATGTTATTTTAAATAAGTGAAATGGTGCAGCTACTGTATATCGTGTCTAGCTTACACGTTTTGTTATGTCCATTCACCAAAGTTGAAGAAAGCTTTAATATTCAATCTTTTCATGATATTCTATATAATCGTTTTAACCTTTCAGAGGTATTACTAGATATTCTAATTTTGGACTCGTTCATAATTTTAATAAATGGTAATAAAACGTAGATTTCTTCCAGTATGATCACAATGAGTTCCCGGGAGTGGTACCACGCACTTTTTTGGGCCCTCTCCTCATTTCGGCACTGTCTTCACCTGTTGTAGGATTGTTGCATCTGTCTGGTATAAATAAATTTTGGACACAGTATGTCGGTAGGTACATGTTGAACTATTTACGTCAATGCGGTTTGAAACAGTAATAATAAATAGCAGTGTAAAAATAGTTTTTTTGTTTTTATTGTAGTGCGCTTAACTTTAGCGCTAGCGGTGATAGCAGCATGGAGTCGTCTCAGGAATACTCTTCAAAAACTTTTTGGAAATACATTTGCCTGGTGGTTCACTATTATCACAGTGTCACAGTACCACTTTATGTTTTATATGAGCCGTCCATTACCTAATATAATGGCCCTACCTCTAGGTTAGTAATAAATTCAAAATTAATTGGTTTAGTATTCCAAAATAATATGTATATCTTATTTTAGTTATTAGTCTACTGAGTTACGTTCACACAACATTTCAAATATTGAGGTATTAATATTTATAATTTTTTTATTATAGTTCTCTTAGCGTATGATGGCTGGCTGTCGGGAAGACATAAACAGTTTATTATATCAGCGGGTGCAGCCATAATTATTTTTAGATCAGAGCTTGCCATGTTATTTGGCTTGCTTCTCATTCTAGATCTATATTTTAAAAAGCTGAATGTAGTAGAGTAAGTATCAGTTGAACTATTAAAGATTATACACAATTTTCAAATTCACAATATGGAGTTATTTTATGAATGATAATTTAATCAATACTACGTAATATTAATAATATGTATTATTTTTATTTAAAAGTAAATTACTTTATTAATATTTTTTCAGCCTTCTAAAAGTGGCAGTGCCTGCGGGAATTTCCTTAGTACTTCTTACGATATGTATAGATTCAGTATTCTGGGGTCGATTCGTATGGCCCGAGGCAGAAGTGTTCTGGTTTAATACCATTTTGAACAAGAGTTCAGACTGGGGAGTATCCTTTTAAAAACCTAACGTACTATATATAAACATATATTATATACATTTTCTAGTACTTCATTTAGTATTCAGAAAAAATAATATGTTAATTCTGCTACAGTTTCTTATGTATTTATTTGCTTCTAACATTTTTGCATTTGGCAACCTTAATATGTCACCAGACATCACCATTTCTCTGGTACTTTTATTCAGCACTTCCCCGTGGTCTAGGTCCTAGCATTGTGTTGCTACCAATTGGAGCTTATCTGGACAGAAGAGTAGTACCAATTATAGTTACATCATTTGTTTATATATTATTATTATCACTACTTCCACACAAGGAATTGAGATTCATAATTTACGTCTTCCCATTGCTCAATGTATCTTCAGCTATAACATGCTCATATATGTAAGATATTTCTTTTACTTTATTTTAAATTTAAGCTCTGCCTAAACAGTGAATTGCTTAAGTTGTTTATTGTGAATTAAAAATAAAATTCTGTAAATAGAAAAATAATTGCAATACAATGAAGCAACTACTTCTGTAAAAAATTAAAAGAGAAAATTAGTTTAAAGCTCTTTAAGTCAATTTTTGTAAATATCTTGTGGCACTTTGTGATTATTTACTCTAAAACAAGGACCAATTTCATAATTTTTTATAAATACTTGCTAGTTATGAGACAAGGTCTTAAAGTATATATTTTGTAATGATGAGTAATTAGAGTATTCCTTTCCTAAGGAGGAATAGGTACATATACAATTGTTTTTTTTTTAGATATATTCGACGAAGTAAAGCACCAGTATATGAAATATTATTTTGGATATTAATAGTCATAATAGTTTGCAATGTAATATTTACCTCTACATTGGTTCTTGTAGCTATGACAAATTATCCTGGTGGAGTAGCAATGACAAGGTTTGTGGTTCTTTTGTGTAAATGTGATTTTTATAATTGAAAAATTTAACTTTTATTCATAAAATTTTTGTTGCAGATTCCATAAATTACTCAAAAATGAGCCATATGTACATGTTCATATCAGTAATTTGGCTGCTCAAACTGGTGTTACGAAATTCACACAAATCCATGACCACTGGTATTATAGTAAAAATGAATCATTGAGTACAGAACAATTGCAATATTATACACACCTTATTGTAGAAGCCAAGAGCAAATATTCTCCTAGCATTAAAGCATTTACTCAAACACATACAGTCTTGGACAGTGTGGAGTCATTTTCGCACATTGCGATGAATTATAAAATTATACCGCCAATAAAAATCAAAACAAAGGCAGCACTCTTTATATTAGAAAGAAAAAACTTTAGAGATGACCCGCAGCCATATATTGAGATAAGTAAAAGTGCCTATGATGACTTAATACAAAGTGATACAGGGTCCGAAGAAATACAAATAAATGTTGTGCAGTATGATAATATAAGTGATAACGTCTCAGAAGAACAAGATAACAATGGTGACGTTTTGGAGCATATAAGTGATAATAATAATACATTTTATACTGAAAATATATCACAAGAAAGTACAGTAACTTATGTTGACGACGAAGAAACTGAAAGATTTCGTAGAGAAATCGAGGAGTCTATATTAAAACAGCAAACAATAGACGTAAATGCTGAAAGGGAAATACCCAAGGCGAAGGTACTTAACCGATCGGACCGAAAAAAGAAAGCGATTGAGAAAATAAAGTCAGAAACGAGAAAGGAGGTTGTAGCTTCAGCGAAAGAAAAATTAAAAGAATTAATGAAACGGCATAAACATGTTGCTAAAGAAATAGCCGAAAATGATATCACTAACAAAGAGGATAAAGAAATGGATGGCCGAGGGGACATCCCAGAGCAGGCGGCTGAAGAAAGTGGAATACAGACAATTGTGGAAGGTATGGATGATTCTATTACCGATAATGACGCTGTTTCCACTTCAACAGATGAACCTATCATGAGCACAAATGAGGATAGTATTGCAAATGCCGCAAACGATGATGCTGCAAAGATAAATGAGTTAAATGATAACAGTATAGCAGACGAAAATATAGACTCTATAGTGGAAGAAGTAATAGCACGTCTTATTGATAGAAAAATTTATGACGACAAAACTAAGCCAGAGGACATTAAGATTGAGGATAGAAAAGTGATACAGAAGATAGTTGAAGAAATTTTATCTGAAAGAACGAATTTCAATTCTGATAATACCCTATAAATCTTATTTTGACTCTGGAACTAATTGTCTTCAATTAATATAATATAAATTTTAAATGTATGTTTTTGTGTCTATTAAGCGTTTACAAATGGTTTAAATTTAATTCTTAATTGTTATTCTAGTCCTATCGTTTTATTTTGTAAATTTGTTAAATATCCAAGAAATAAAAAACGAATTAAAAATATATTTTTATTACAAAAAGAATAAATCTTCTTGCTATAAACCTTACACTTATAATTAAGATCTTTTCAGTACATTGATACAATATATACTTTATGTCCCATAACCCCTAGATGGGGCAAAGGGCGTCCACATAATACATAGTTGAACATAAAATAATGGTTAAAAATATAACTTAATTAACATAAAAAAATAGTTTTAATCAAGATAGGAATAAGTCCCCCAAAGGGAAAGGACATATTTTTAGTGTTTCAAGCACAATTTTTTTTTAAATTCACTAAGAGATCCATCCGTGGCTTCCTACTCAAAAGTTCCATGTTATGCTGACAATATTGAATCCCGGACCACATAGTTGTATGTATGTCAAAAGCCAAGTCCAGGACCATCTATATCAAGAGCTTACTATGATCACACAAAACTATCACAAATGCTGAGAAGTGACTAAAGAATTTCTACATTCAGGGACTATTTTCAAACTTGATACAACAATAAAACTATGGTCATTTCTATTTTCAGTAGACCTCGTAAAGTCGATACTTATCTGTTTAAAGATATAATATAATTTAATACTATAATAGTAAATGATTTATAAATTGACATTCGATTTTAACTAATTTTATAGCCTCATCAGCCATACACAAATCCTGGCTTATAATACTTAACAAGGAATCATTTCATTTCGTCAACCTTTTATTTTTATATTTAAGTCTACTCAGAAAATACTATTTCCCTAAGAATATAAAAATGCCACAAATTATCTGGTGTATTTACCAAATTGATGAAAAGGCAACGAATGTAACATAAAATTTAACATAATATGTTGAATAAGGTAATAATAACTATTGTTGAATAAGGGGCCGTTCAAATATTACGTAAACAGATTTACTGCAATTTATCCCCCCACCCCTTTCCTCTTGTCAGCAAAAGTAAGCAAAGCTCTCAAAAATGGTACATAAACGTATTATTTTTTTGTAGGAATACTCGAAAATTCATTTCGTTTTCAAGCATAGACAATGTGTGGGTAATGTGTGTTAAAAGGTAAATAATTACTGTTGACGTAATCACCAAATAAGAAAATAAAAGACCCCCCAACACCCCCCTTTAGTGCTTACGTAATACTTGAACAGCCCCTTAGATAATCTGACTACCAATCTTTATTTAAATTGACTGTGTCTCAGTATCTGGTTCAAAGAAATTTGCGCAATTTTTCCGGCAAAAAGCTGTTTACTAAAACTTTCTCTTTGCAAAAGATTAACTATTTCTAACAAAAACCTACATAAAATGTAAGTTAAAGCAATTACCTAAGAATATAAATCGGCTAATCCAAATCAAACATACAATCACAATTTTTCTGGGAGTTCTGGCTCTGGTCTGGAATTTAAACATCAAGAAGCATCTTCCAATTAAATCTGGCTGAGCTGGAGTTGATGGACGGAGGGCAGGGAGGAGAAACTACCTCCCAAGGGTTGTCTCGTACGGCTCCAACCGCACAGTATGGTACTCTTAATAGATTCTCACTGATCTTGTAGTTGGGTTCGTCAGTTTTGCCTTCCGCCAATCTTTTAAATGCCAACACCATCATGTCTAGTGTTGCCGCGTGTCCGACGAACATAATGTTGCCACCTGAAAATTTAGATATATTTATTTCCATGAAGTTACTGAATGGTATTGATGTGATGGCAATCTAGTAATCATAATTTTTTTTTTTTTTAATTTAATCAACCTACCTTCAGCTTGAGATTCATTCCAAGCCGACTGCATAACCAATTCATTTCGTTTAAAGAAATCATCCAAGGTCTCTGGGGTTTTAGGGTCTAAGTCAATATAGGGTTTGTAACTGAAAAAGACAACAAATAAAAATACATGTCCGAGCCAAGGCTGTACACATTGTCAAGGCTTTCGTAGTTTTATAAGCGTGGCGATTACCGTCGAAATTACGCCCCGAGAGTATAGGCAGACGCAGGAACTCTTTTCAGCATTATAAGCATAGCATATCATTCATTTAGCATAACTTATTTTTTATACTTTGTTTAAATCGGGTTGTTAATAAATAGTGTAGGTACATTATTTAAAACTGACCTAGGAACTATACAATAAAATAATGTACTGTCGGTTCCAGGGTACCTCTTCATTAATTGTAAATATAGGCATAGACATAACATTTATTACTAACAAAAACACACACACAAAATAACAATAATAAAAGAAAAAAATTAAATAAAAATATAATGATAGATATCAAAAAAAATATTTTTTTCCCTTTTCCCATTCGGTTCGTTTTAAGTGTGTAATGCGTGTGTGCTGTGGCTGTAATTGGCCCTGGCTCAGCATTATGCTGAGGAGCAGAATGTTCCATGCTGGTTATTCAGCCAGAGACCACATCAGCTTGTTTGCGCCTCAGTCGCAAAAAGAAAAGAAAAGGAATGTATTACTTAGTAGAAGAAAAAAAAATTAGTTAAAGTTAGCAGTGTAAGTAATTAAGTCTTGAGTAAAGGTGTATAGTAAATAATATTAAATTAAAAGTAATCCATAAGTAAAAAATTTTGAACTATAAAAATACTGCAGCAACTGATGAATGAAATGAATAGTTATAATTTCCTTCAATCTTCAATCAGACTCATATGAAGAGAAGTTGAAAAAGAATCATACTTGACATCAACATTAATTCCGGCATCGTGAAGTTCCTGAGGCGTCATGAAGGTTGGCATTCCTTTAGTCAGATACCACATCTTATATTCAAATAATCCTGGTTCAACACGAATCTTTACAGATGGATCTGCCTGTAGACCTGGAAAATAGTAAATTATGAGATGTAAAACAAAATTTTACCTTCGGAAAACGACATATTTCTAATAATTTTTTTACGTTTCAAACAAAAAAATAGTACAAATAATACTTTATAAGAATGTGTATTCTGATACAATTTATTGTTTCATTTATACCAAAAAACAATTGTCCAAGATTTTTAAATTAAATACTCTCCACTAATATATTTGATTCAGCCGAATTTTAAATACTTAACAAACGAAAAGTTAGATACATATATACATAGTGTAATTAGTTTTTATCGAATACAAAAACCAGTTTAATTTAATTAAAATAAAATAAATTTAAAGTAAAAAAAACTGCCTCGTAAAAAGTTATCGGAAAAACATTTTTTTTAAATGTCACCTTGGCTTATCAATTTAAAATTCCAACTTTATACTAACAAAGAAATTGCTTTTTACTTTCTATGAAATCCTAATATGAACGTAATGGGTTCAGGACTACACACCCAATTGTGTCTGACATGAGTCCTTGCCATATTTTGTAAGTCAACAAATGGGCAAAAGGCTTATACAACGGTCTCCGTTTAAAGTGACATCCGCCCCTTTATCCGCTTTAATACAATCGAACAAGTAATGTAACAAAACAAAAATACTTCCATAGATTAACACGACCATATCTCGTACATACCCTCACTTTCACACCATCACACAACACATCCGAATTACGGACTTAGTTAAATGTATTAAAGAATGTTTATTGATTTTTCCTTTTGTAATTGTTTGAAACTTTTTCTATATAATATGTATTCCATCTTTGGCAATATCTTTAGTATAATTGTTTTTATTTGTTCTAGCTGACACGGCAAACGTTGTTTTGCCATGCATATTATTTCTAGGAAACATTTCTTTAGTTCAATAAAAATAACTATCACCTATAATAAAAAATAGGGGTTGATCGTAGAGGGGGGAAATTAGGGGTTGTATGTATTTTTGTATGTTGTATCATAAAAAATAAAAACAAAAAAAATCTAAAGAATAAAAAATAGCCGATTCCCAGACTTACTGAATATACATAAAAAAATTGGTCAAGCAGTTTCGGAGGAGTATGGGAACGAACATTGTGACACGAGAATTTTATATATTAAAATTTGGGATAGCTGTATAAAGAAATAAATAAGATAGGTATAGATTATAATAGAAAATAGAACATTGCACTGACCCAGCAGGAAGCTATGGGCTGATTCAATGGAACGTAGCGCAGCGGATGCGTACACGTGTTTGACTGTGACGCCATTCAGACGCATGCCTTCACCCACCAGCTGAGCTTGCAGGTGTCCAACCCGAGTCAACGGAGTGTCCAGGGCATACGAGTCTTTCCCCCCTTTCCTATTATAATAAAATACATTTTATAATATCCATATTTCGGATACTTATAGATGTCCGCGACGTCTTATCGTTTAGACGTTATCCTAGCGTAAGTCTCATTACTCATCACAGTTTTGTAGTAAGTAATTTGTATTGTCGTAGGTTCGATCCCCGGCTGTGCACCAATTGACTTTCTTTCTATGTGCGCATTTAACATTTGCTCGAACGGTGAAAGAAAACTTCGTGAGGAAACCAACATGTCTTAGACCCAAAAAGTCGACGGCGTGCGTCAGGCACTGGAGGCTGATCACCTACTTGCCTATTAGATTTAAAAATGATCATGAAACAGATTCAGAAATCTGAGGCCAAGACCTAAATAGGTTTTTTTTTAATTTGTATTATCTATAGAGACAGCTTGTGAACCAGTTTCTTAACAACATATTATATTATTTTAACAATTACAAGCTTGTTTAGTCACGAGTGTATAGCGTTACACAACATACATATGGGATACTTTATTGTTAATTCTTTGCTTAAGTTTCAGAATTTAAATGTTTTACTATTACGTCTTTCATTAAATATACATGACAAATGTTATTATGAATATGTACTTATTATTATATTCAACCTTTTGAAGTTATATAAACACCTGTTGCAATGACATTTTAAAGTGAGTTCTTAGTCATTTTGAAGTTAGTCACTAACTGCTAATTGTTAAAAACTCCCAGCAAATTACTGATAACATACCTTTCGCCCAACTTTATGGGCATGTTAAGGTCTTTTCTGACGTAAGTCCCATTATCATCAAAGCAGTAAGGCACCCAAGCGCCGTAAGTTAAGTCGACCCTTTCGCCGTGACGCATCCCTAACATCCACCGACGTTCCTTTCCATCTTTCGCTTTTGCCTCCTTAAAAATACTCAATGATTAAAATTCCACAATGTTTTGAGAAAAATGTGCAACGTTATTTTTATGGCCCAGGAGGTAAACGAGCAGGCAACTCTACATAAAATCATAACCGCCGACGTTGTACTAACAACGGGTGTGTTGCGACCTTTTAGGCAATAGTACGCTCTTTTCTTAAAGGCCCCTAAGTCTAATTCTATTTTAAAGTCATATAGATATTGGCTTGACTTTCAGCAAAATTAACCCGTCATTTTGGGATAAGTTGTTTCTAATCTTGACTCTTTAATAAAGCAAGCTTTTTTTGTGTAATTGAACGCGGTAATCTCAGCTAATACTTATTCGAATCGAAATATTCTTTTTTTGGATAGTCCACTTATCAAAGAAGAACGTTATCATCACGCTATCACTTAATAAACGCCATAATAAATTTGTTAAATAATATAACCACTAGTTACGGAATATTCAAAATATGTTGTAAATTACTCGAAGTAAGATGAAAAATGTTATATTAAATAAGAAACAAATGTTAAGTCTGTGACTGTTCAGAGACTATGGCATTGTGAACACGCAAAGTTTCATAGTTTATATTGAATCACGAACTGTTTGTCACGATTCCTGAGAAAGCTTTTAACGCCTTAAACTAGTTTTGCATTTAGATTCCGAATGTGTAATTTAATTTACATATTTTTATAAATATACTACAAATAGACATGTTTTAACTATCAAGTGGAGTTGATAAGTTAAAATCTAAAGAAATACGTCTATAATCGAAGATAAAAGATGTTAAATTACGTGAAATATTTCCTTACCTTACAGTCCCCCATTGACACAGTGTCGCCGTTACCACATGCCTTTTCCGATTTTAAATCGAGTCCCCTATCTCCTAAAAATACACAATAGCATTCAATAGCAATAGGGTGCGTCACTGAACAAGCAATGGCGGAACCATCCCTACAAATACAAAACATTAACTTAAGGAGTTATTTCAAACACATGTTTCACCATTTGAATGTATTTGATTGGACAATTCCTACGCTTAGCCAATCCGATGCGATAAACATACCTATAACATTCAAAATTCCAGCTTCAGCCTTGTCGAAGGTTACAGCTTTCCAGTATTTCTCCCAATCTTTGTAAGTATCTTCTGACTTTTCCTGGGCGAGATTGGAGGCATCTTCGTGCGGATAGCTGGCCATATCTGCATCAGTTTCAGACTCCGACTTCGATTCTGCACCTGTAAACTAGTTTTTATCCCTATGCGACCTTCCCACGCGGGCACCGCAGGTATAATAAACAAACGACTCGTGTCGCGTCACTCTCCCACATCCGTCTCTTTTGCTCCCATTAATTTATAGCTAGTGAATAATTACATAGAGAATAGAAAAAGTTCTAGCGTCATATTCATAATAAAATTTGAAAAAATTACTCACGAGAATAACCGCACCTTTGTAGACAGCAATCTTTATCTAAAGTTACTGTTAAGCTCACTAGATTTACAATAATTAAGACAACAATTTTCGAATATAAAGACACCGCCGACATCTTTGTGCTCATGGGCTTGAATTTACTACCACAAAAACATACATCGACACGATTATCACTCTACACAAGTAATCGTTTTGTTAAAACGATGTTTTCTACTTTAATTTCTATTGATTCTATGAAAGAATTTTAATTAAATAAGAAGCACCAAATCACTGCACTACGTCACACATCGAATAACAAATCTGAATTCGTTAACGAACGCTTAATAACTAATTAATAAACTTTAAATCTACGCCGGAAATTTGATAGACAGTTAAAATATTTTCTTAGTGATTATTTAATGTATTCACAATGATGTGTGTTTACTTACCTAAATTATTCCCCAATGTGATCGCGCGGTGCAGCGTCCACGCGTCCGACTCGGCCGTGCGTTGCGTATACACAGCCGGTAAGTAGCCGCTCACGCCTGAATCGTACGGTTTTGGGTTGTTAACTTACTTATACAAATATCATCTAAATAATAACATAAGATTTATCAATAATACAATAAGTAGTTTTTTCGATGAACTTTTATTAGGTTCAACTTGTAAAAGATTTTGGGCATTCATAACAGTGAGTCTGAATCAACAGTTCAAGGTCGACCGTGAAATCATTTCGAAGATAAGATATATTTATCATTATTACAATGTAAGTATTGCCTGAGTACTATAGTTTTATGATGAAAATTGTCGGTAGTTTAAGTATACGTTAAATATTTATATATTTCCTTATTATCTTTTCTTACAAAACTTAATACTAATACAATAGAAAAGAACATAACACTATATAAACAAAACACGAAAATTTTACACCTATTATGAAAAATGCAATATGTACTTGTGAATTCAGCCAGTTGTGATTATAATTTTAAACACTTAAAGTATCTACGCCAAAATTAATATTTTATAAGTTTTTAAAATTTTGCGTGCCTATGCATAGTTAGTACCTAGCATAGTTTTCGCATTTAAAAATAAATAACCTACGTACGGATAATTTTCGACAATCATATGATCACTCATCAGTAATAAAACACTTTTTAAATTACTAACATGAATTCTATTCTAAAAGTGAAAACGGTTTTAATGGTTTCGGCGTAATTATCACAAAAAAAACTAACCAAGTAGCCGACTTCGCGCAAAAAACATATCTGTCCGATAGGCGTAAGTTGAAGCGATATAAATACGGCATAGATAAAAAATATTACCTGTGAGCCAAGACGTGCCATGAACCCAGCCGTCCGGACTGCTGTCAAATTGTTTTTCCTCAATATAAATATAATCTCCAATTACTAGTTCCAATTCATCATTTGCTACTGGAACGTAACTTTGCGTCACTTTATGGACCTAGTAAAGAATAATAATAATAAGCCTTTATACATCCACATCTTTGTCAAACATTTAACAAAAATAGATATAAAATTTTTACTACTTTAAGATGCCGCCCCAGTCCGGGAGAAGGCCTTGTCCAACTTTTTCCACCCTATTTTATTTTGTACCATCGTCATCCAATTTTTTTTAGCTACCCTTTCGATCCCATCGGCCCATCCCTCTATACGTCTGCAGTTATTCTTTTTCCTTTTGGACCAATACATTCAGAAACTGTTTTAAACCATTTGTCATCTGTATAACGTGCCCTGCTCATCTCCATTTATGATGTAGGCCATGTGCTCAGCAGCAATTATTTTTGTTTTTCTGCGAGAGCAATATTATGTACTAAACACGAAAATAGTAAATAATATTGCTCTCGTAATCCGATATCATTTTACGCTTCGCCGTGCATTGTGTCATGTGGCCAACTCGCCTTTGTGAATGCAAAAGTGAGTTTGTCCTAACATTACAAGCAGTTTGAACCTTTTAAGCTGATTTGATGTTAAGTGATACTGCTAAGGTCTCGCAAATGCGTTGCCGGCCTTTTAGTTAGTGGAAACCAAATCCTATTTAATTGCATTAGCAAGTACATACTTCAACATGAAACATGAAAACATTAGTATTTTATCTTGTGTTTCTTACCTATTTAGGAAAAAGTATGAAGTAAGAGAACGCCATCCTCCATGTTCTCTTATTTCATACGTTTTCTTAGTCATTATTGAAGAAAGGATTTTTTCTTTCAGTTTAACACTGAATCATTCGAAACTGTACACAATCTAAAGAATTTTTGTTTATCTGAATAGAAAAAATATAATAGATAGTGTTATACTGTATACAGTCTCTTTATCAGGGAAGCACTATATAACATCACAGAATTAAGCCAGGTCAAGCCGCAGGCCACAGCTTGTTTGACATTAAAATAAAAATTAGGTCATTGAAAACTCACAAGCTTGTGAGCAGGCCATTGAGGAATAAGAGTTGCCTACGCGTCGTGTACAACAAAGAGACGCGGTTCAGTTTTCACTAGTCGGCGATATTCGATAGCGATTGTGTGACAATAATCCAGAATTTGAGAAACTGAAATAAAGTTGCTAACAAAATAATCTTAGGATGTTGTGTGTTTTAGAACAACAGATGGTCAACCAAAGAAGTAATGAGTCAATTAATTTTGTAACAAAATATAATTAAGTATATGTGCTTGCTTTCTTAGTATCAGGCGCACACAGACGAATATTGAATTTCATTTATTCAGCCTTAATAATTATAATCACTTGCAAAGACTACGCCAAACTCTAGGCAGTAATCAGATACGTAATAAGGCACCGCAAATGTTTACAATGGTGCATTTTCAATCAACAGTTGGAATTCCTAACATCAACTTTAAAACTAGACTTTTCCTTAAATGGCATGACTTACCAGGTGATTAGCAAAACGAGGGTCCCGGGAGTACAATCTTAGTTCCCAACTGCTAAGTGCCTCAGGTCTTAATTCCTCAACAAGTTTTCTCAATGCATCATACGCTGAGGCCTCAAAGTGGTATGCTAGTGTTATGTGTAAGGATTTTACATGTGCCTCAAGATTTGTAGCTAAAACACACATTTTAAAACTTATTCCACATCTATTTTTATTTATTTACCCTTAGTTGCAAATGAAAGAAACACATATATGCTAAATGACAAATCACTATCCACCTTAATCTATTAAATTTAAAATTCATTGAATTTTCAATAATATATAATATTTAATAGGGTCTTTTGTACATAAGCTGAAATAATATCATTACATCGAGCAAGGTACCTTATCTTAAAAATTTTTATAAAGCAAGAAAAATTGGTTACTAATTCTAAAGCATTATTTACCTGAAAATTAGATCCAAATAGTATGAATAAAACTACTTTTTGATTACTCATAAAAAGCACACTAAACTACTATACATGCAACCTTACTATGCACATAGTTCTTACATATGTCTTTCTCTTGAGTCATAGTACACCATGGAAAACAAGCACCCAGCGCATCCAAATGTTCATATGTATCCACTTTAACACCCACTGTATAAATATATACTGTGTTAGGAATTAGCTGCTTTTTAAAATGAAAAAGAATTGTTAAAAATCAATAATTAAAGTATTGTTAAATAGTAAGGTACAAAAAGTATCCTCAAAAAATTTGCATAATTTAATGTATCTTATTAATTACAGATAACAATGTAACCACAAATGTAAATACAGGTGCATTTTTGTACACATATTATTTTATCTTTTTTGTTAAAATATATTTTAGTTTAATGAACTTAACATTAGTTCTACTGATATAATATGAAATTGTGATATGTTAATCAATTAAAATTTATGTCTCATTTATATTAAAACTAGCTGTGAAACTAGCTGTCCGGCAAACGTCGTTTTGCCATGTATATCATTTATAATAAAAAATAGGGGTTGATCGTAGAGGGGTGAAAATTAGGGGTTGTATGTATTTTTTAATGTTGTATCATAAAAAATATAAAAAATAAAAATTTATCTAAAAAATAAAAAAAAAAAATTAGGGGTGGACTACCCTTAACATTTAGGGAGATGAAAAATAGATGTTGTCCGATTCTCAGACATACCCAATATGCACACAAAATTTCATGAGAATCGGTCTAGCCGTTTCGGATGAGTTTAACTACAAACACCACGACACGAGAATTTTATATATTAGATAATGAAAAAACTGTTTGTAAAAGAATCTTAGTTGATTCCAACTAGAACTCACATATAGAAGAAACTTCCTTCACAAACTGTACAGCAATCTTTTTTAAAAACTCTGCATGTTCCTCAGATAAAAACAGACCCATGAAGTTATGAGATACATATGGTTCTAGTTTGAGCTGGCTCATTGGAGGATCACCAACCATTTCAACCACTTCCTTAACTGCTTTTGCCAATTGGAGAGATGCTTCATCTGCAGCCTACATTTTTAAAAGATACAATATTTTTTAGAAGTTTATGTGACTCAGGAACAATATATTTATATATATTCAATTAATTTACTACCTTAAAAAATGAGACAAGCGTTATGTGTGGAGGAAAGTTGTGGGCTCTATTCCAACTAGAAACAGCTTTAGATTTTTCCCAAAATTCTCTTAACTGGGTAAGCAATGGTCCAGTAGGGCTGGCATAAAATATATATTCCCTTGGTTGTTCAACATCTAAAAATGTATCATTAACATGAGTGAGAAGCCAATCTGATGCTAGTTGCACACTGCGATTCCCTGTAGCAGCTAATGCTTTCAATCTGCAAGAAACAATTAATATTTAATAGTTAAATATGAATGAATACACAGAATATTGATTGTATGAGTTGTTGTTCAGCAAATCAGTATTATAGACACTTAATTGTCCTTACACTCTATTCTTCGGAAATCCCATTTGTAAAAGTATTTGTAATGGTGTGGAATCTTGTTTAGATGTCTTGCTAGATGTGGAAAATTTTCTTGGTGGAAGGTTAGTCATTTTTAATTAATTTTCTAATGGTAGAAGACCTGCCTCCCTTATATCAATACAAGCTCATACGTCAATCAATTGTATCATGCCTATCGACTTTATTTATCTGAAACATAAATAATACTTGTTTTGTCACAGTGGAAAATTAAATAATAATCAAAAAGTAACTGTTTTATACAAATTATGGTTCACTTGAATGTCTAAAATTTGAAGTTTTTTAATTTCTAATGGAGATTTTTAAGTCAATTTACTAACAATATTAGACCTGCATTGTCCACAAATTTTAATTAAAATTAAAATCATACAAAAACACCTTTTAGAAACTTCTTAATATCCTATACTATTTTCTAGCAAATCCTTTACACCAAAATTTTAAAATTAGTCAAATCAAAAATGTCCATTGTTTTGATTTCGCTAATTATTTTGATGAATCTTTACCTCTACTTAATCTGTGAATCAATCTTATTTTGCATTTGTCACTAATATTATCAATGTTTATTTCTTTCTGTCATATTATAAATTACAAGTTTGGCCTAAAGGTCTAGATACCAGGCCATAAACTCCAAAAAAAAAATTACAAGTATACTCCACAGAGTACAGACTACATAATGTGGAATGTGGTTGGCGGTTGCTATTGTGGTTGCACTGTTGGTTGATTGACGTCAAAACAATCAATATTTCGAATTTCGCGAACTTAGGAAATAGGAATTACCGCCGGGCGCCGGTTGACTTGTGAGATTATAAGATAAAAAGTAAAAACTACGACTATTGTAATAGTCCAAAATAATATTTGTAATTTTCTAAGAAAATGTCTCAGAAAAGTGATGAGCTAAAAATTTATTGGAAAAAAATTAAATATGCTTTCCCAATTTTAGATAATACTCTTCCTACTGAGTGCACTGACCAAGAGTACGAGGAGATAACACAAATCATTGTCGGACTAGGAATTCAAGTGAAAATACGTGACTTGGTCTTGGTCCATGTCGAGAAATATTTAAGGGTGTATGTTGCTCCATCATTTTGGTCTAAATTTACCAAAGTATATCAAATCAAATCAGAGGATATCAAAGCATTTCAACTTTTCAAGTCTGCTGTTAATGATCTGTATGATTCTGTCAATCAATTTTCTGATATGTTAAGAAGATTAAAACACCTTAACAATGAATGCTGTGATAACAGACCAATATTTGGGGAGAAAGATGTTATACTAGGATTTAAACAGCTGTTAAGGGCTACTTTATTATCTCAGTTACCTACCACTTATCATATTATAATAAACCATTTCTATGAGTTGTCATTTAATGTCTTTGACAACATGAAGTCTTCTGATATGGATGAAGATATCTGTTTAGGTTGTTGGAACGAGTATTCAGATTGTAACTGTGCCTATATTGTTAAAGTTTTTTATGATACAAACATGAAGTTGGTGGAATTGCAACTGCTTGAAAGACTAGCTGGTCAAGTGTTGACCAACTTTATTCAAAAAAAAATTGAAGTCCACATTCGTAAAATATGCACGGGTGCATTTGATGTTTCCCATATGTCTCACTTGGAAGACTGGCTTGATACTACAGTCATGACTTGGTTGACCAGAATTTATTCGGCTGGCTCATCAAAAGCCCCGCCTAGTATTAAGTATGCTATAACTAAATTTAAGCAAAAACTAAGTTTTTTCTTATACCAAACATACACTAAATTGCGTATAGATCAGTTATTTAACATTATTATTGAGTATCCAGATTCACAGCCTGCCATTGATGACATTAAAACTTGTCTAGAAAGTACAAATTTATGTCCTTTGTTATGTAAAAAATTACAAACTGCTTTAGAGACTAGGTTATTGCATCCTGGTGTAAATACTCCTGATATATTAACAGCCTATATATCAACAATAAGAGCACTCAGACATTTAGATCCTTCTGGTATTATTTTGGAGACAGTGACTAAGCCTGTTCGTAGTTACTTAAGAAATCGAGAAGACACTGTCAGAAGTGTTGTTAGTAGCTTGACAGAAGAAGGTACTGGCAGTGAGCTTGCTGAAGAGTTAGCAAAGTTTGCAGCTGAAAATGATGAAGACAATGAAAAAGAAGAAGCCTGGGATGACTGGTACCCTGACCCTGTAGATGCAGATCCAAGACGGACTCAAGGACGAAAAGGAAGTGATATCATATCAATGCTTGTTAATGTTTATGGCAGTAAAGAACTATTTGTTAATGAATACAGGACATTGCTAGCAGACAGGCTACTGGCACAAGGTGATATTAACACAGAAAAAGAAATTCGTTATTTAGAGTTGTTGAAACTCAGATTTGGGGAATCACAATTACACTTTTGTGAGGTAATGCTAAAGGACATTTCCGATTCCAAAAGAATTAATGCCTTAATAAGTCAAGACAAAAATTTTGCAGAGATGAATGCAAAATTTTCATCAAATGCAATGATTTTATCTGCCCAGTTTTGGCCCCCATTCAAGGATGAAAGCTTAGAACTACCTGAAGAAATTAAACAACACTTAGCTGAATATACAAAAGCTTATGAAGCTCTTAAGGGTAATAGAACATTAAGTTGGAAACCCCACTTAGGGAATGTAAATATTGAAATTGAAATAGGTGAAAAAAAGTTGGATTTAACTGTTTCACCATTTAATGCAACTCTAATTATGCATTTTCAAAACAAACCAGAGTGGTTACTTGAAGAGTTGCATGATATTATGAAAGTACCCATGACTGTTCTAAGGAGAAAGATTACTTACTGGCAGAGCTTAGGCCTCATTACTGAAAAAAGTGCAGATTACTATGTCTTGGTGGATGGATCTGAGGCTAACAAAGCAAATGTACCTTCAAATCAAGTCCAAGAAATGATTTGTGAAGATGAAGAAACTGAAAGTGTGATGGCTTCAGCACATGATCAAAGGGAAGGTGAGCTGCAAGTCTTTTGGTCTTATATTGTAGGAATGTTAACAAACTTAGATTCATTACCACTTGAGAGAATACATCAAATGCTAAAAATGTTTGCGTCACAAGCACCTGGCACAGAGTGCAGCTTAAATGAATTAAGGCAGTTTTTGGATACCAAAGTACGGACCCATCAATTAGTATTGCAAGGTGGCATGTATAAATTGCCTAAACTTTAAAACTTATTTTTACCACTACTATATTACTGATTTGTTAAATAAAAGAAATGATAGATATAACAGAATTTTATTTTTCACCTTTTAATATAAAACTTGGATATAACTTATTTGTGGTTTATAAAATGTGTTATCTATTATTAATACAATATTGTTTAATTTTGAAGAAGTTATGGATTAGAATTCGAAATAAGTGAAACACACCACAAACCAAGATTTTGTGTAAAGTTAATACTTTGCAATTTCACATTTCTGTGTCAGTCTTAGCTAATTTTAATATATATTATCTACATAAAATAAAGATAGATACTGCAAATGAAATACTGATAAATTAGTTGGAATGCATTATAACACAACATAGAAACCATAACTTATCTCACACTTTTGATACAATAAAATTGTGTAAATCTCTTCAAAATAGTATATAATTTAAACAAATGTTTTGAAATACACAAAAACATAACAGTTTGTTATCAACTAAATTTGTCATCATAACAAAGAGCAATGATATAACGTTACTTAACGTTATTTTAAATATTTTACATTTGGTGGCGGACTTAAAAAAATATTGTTTAAAACAAATAAAATTACATAAAACAGATCTAAAAAGCGTAAAATTATACATTAACAACACATAAGAGTAGAGCCGCTGAGAGAGATAACAATTAAAATTAGTGCCATATAGAAATATCAATCTATATAAAAATAAATAGTAGAATATTGTAAACACTACAACAGTTAAAGCTCTACAAGTAGTTTACATATGTACAGATATATCAGACATTATTTCTGACATTGCAATCTAAATATTTTTGATATATCATAGTATCATCGCCAGTTCTTAAACAAAAAATAATTTAAATACTGTATGTGTTCATTCAAGCATTTTAATTCTACATTGCAAACTCTTGAATGTAATATAAAGAAAAAACAGATAGAATAGGTTAAACTCCTTCATCTTCTCTAAAAACTTTAACATTTCTTTACATACCCGGCAAAAGGAAGTAATCAGAAATCCTTATACTCATTATACTTAAAGCCTGTAGGCAGATATAAACATTTAAGGCTTGCCTACCACTACAGTTATATTAAATGCACAATATTACTAATCTTATTCAATAAATTATTAAGTACATAATTTTTTATTAAGTCTGCTTTTAGATTTTACTAAGAAACTCTTTTTGGACGACGTTTTTACTAATGACACAAACCTTTTCAAATTTGTGAATACTTATCAGCCATAAGGAAACTTAAATAATTTAAATAAATATAGCTATGCTAACGTTAACAAAATAAAAAGTACGATATCATTTGTTTTTCTTTAGTAAAATTATATTTTTTGTATGCCAATGAGTAAATGAGTAAAACCCCCCGTAATCTAATTCGTCACAATCTCGTCTTCATAAACGATAAACGACATAAAGAAAAAATGGTTCGACAGCTCTTCAAACTAGATTTAAGTTTAACGATATTATTCATTAATGTACCGTAAGCCTCAAATCTTCACTATTTTGATGACATTCTTGATGAATTATAAATAAGATCGTTATAGAAAAGTCTGTAACGTTAATACATGTTCAAAGAGACACTAGAATTCAATTCGTATTTGCTGCATATATTTATCTTTTTATTGTGGCCAAAGTTTTGTTTATAAATAGCAGTGATTTAAGGTCTCGTAAGGTAAGATTCTGAGATGAGACTGCGCTAAGCATGTCTTCCGTATGCCAAAAACCACCTACTTATAGTTTACCCTAAATCTTTATCATACACACATTGATTGCATATTATAAAATTCCACAATAATTGAGTATTGTTTTGATATACTCAAGTTTCATTCAAAACTAATTTATAATTACAATTTTTAATTACACACAGTTAAAATTTAGAGTCGTGTTATTAATAATTGCGATTAGGCTGTAGGTCTAATACATTTCATATATTATCGTTATTAGTGAAAGAAAAAAGTTTTTAATTCCCACAAAACCATACACGACGCGTGCATGAGTTTCCTACTCCTTTCCTTACATAACATCCTATTTTTTCATAAGGTTGATATCGAAAAAGTACAAAAATGACCGGCCCTTAAACTCTTTTACTCTATGGAAGTAAATATTTGTAACCGACTTCAAAAAAAGTGACGATTCGTTGGGGTTCTATAAAACTGTTATTAGCTGTAAATTTATGTAAAAGCTTATGTCTTAAAAGTATGTTCACCGATTACGTCTGGGCGCCGGTGCTGGGACAGTGGGTGGTGCTGTATGTGGGGCTGAAGTGGGCTGTAAGGGTCTCTTGAAAGGACCCAGTCGTTTGACAGGGCGAGGTGAAACAGTATGCGGTTCTGAGCTGGACCAGCCGCTAGCGCCGTGGTCTAGTAAGGCATTCGCGAGACGGCCGCTACTCTGATCTGTAATTTTTATGAAATAAATTTAAACTAAACCGAAACAATATTTGAATTTATTCATTTATTATTTTTAAAGAAACAGAAACGTAAGAGCTAGAACAGGTGTGACGGACATTCTGACTAAGAAACCAAATAAAATGAAGAGTGATAGCTCATATGTTACGGAGCCCCCATAAAAAATGGAGCATAATATTGACGGAATGGTACACTAGAAGTGGAAAACGAAGAAGAGGAGGACGAACTCAAATTAACAGCAGGCTACAACTGGAGAAGAGTCGCAAAAGATAGAGAACAGTGAAAAGGGTTAGAGGAGGCCTTTGCCAAGAGGCACACCGAACTCCGAGATATACTATAGTGGAATCATACTAAGACATATAAGATCATAGATGACAGAGTTTCGGAATATAAAGGCTATATTGTTATTATTATTAATTTATTTTTGGAAGAGACAACTTGAAATACGTAAATTCAATTTATATGATTAAAATTTAGATTAAATAAAATTAAATACAGATTTAATTTCTTTGAGTAACATAGGCTACGTTTATTTTCAAAATATGTAAAAATAAATGTCTAGCTGCACAGCATAGAAACCGGGACGTGCCCTGCAGCTTATAGCATAGACTTAATTTTCCCAATAGATATATAATAACAAACCTGTCTCCTGCTGGTGGGTATGAAGCGGGGCGCGTATCCTCGTAACAAAGTGCTCGAAGGGCGTGGCGTGCGTGTGCGTCGCGACGAGTGCGTCCAAATCGCGTGCGCGTTCGCTGCACGCATGCTGATACAAGGGCATCGTCGCACGAACGGATCGACCGCCGGCGAACGCCGCGCCTCGTACTAAGGCCGCACAGCAACTCACGCGCACTATACATTCTTCCCATAGTGGACCGAACACGGCAACCTATATAGGGAATTTTATATATATTAATTGTATTTGCTAAATTCTGCTCAAATACGAATTTAATTATATGCTTTCATATAAAGCGATTTTGTGAAATGAACTGACAAAGTCTAAGAACGTCAAACAAGGTTCTTAGATTCATCGTAATTTGACAAAAAAATTAATAACATCTATATATATAAAAGAAAAATGGTCTTCGTTTGAGGCTCCTTCACGCCTAAACCACTGATCGACATGAAACTACCACCATTCGATGCGAAATTTTTCCTAGATGGTTTATGGCTATTTATTTATTAAATTCCAACGTTCCTTCATTTTTTTATTGCTGTTTTACTTTTATGAAAATTTATCCATACGGACTTCACCGCGGAAACATTCGGGGAGGCTTCCTAGAACCTCTAAACGTCAACATCTGTTAAAAACTCGATTTTCGAAATATTTCAATTTTCTTAGCGGGAAGTTAAAAAGAAGAATAATAAAAATATGAAAAAAAATAAAATAATGAAACATAAAATTTATTTTAATTCGTCCAGCAAAGCGGGCGCGACACGGCTAGTTATTATTATAAATAGAAATAATATATCAAATAAAAATAAATAAATAGGAATAAAGAAAATGAATCAAATTAAAACAAATATTCTGTTATTTAGATTGTTAATTTTCTAATTTCGCTTTACAAAGCTCGTATTTAACTCTTCAAAAGTCAAGCTTCATTTGGAACTGAAAGAAAAAGACAAAATAGTTCTTGTTCCGACTTAAATATATTTTCATGTCAACATAAAATACTTACATCCGGCTTCCTAGAGACAGTGCATCGAAGTAAACCCCCGGGCAGCGGATACAAGACGATAAGGACGTCACAGAACTGAGTGGGAAGCGTGTCTCGCTTGTAAGGCCGCCAATGTTCGCTCCACACTACGTGCACTTCATCGTTGCCTAGGTGACGAGTCTGAAAATACAAAAACACAATCTTCAAGACTGCCTTTTCATACATCTATAATTTTCAGCAGTTCCGAAGTTTAGTAATAACGACTTTCTATACTCTGATTTTTAATTCCGTAGAATTCTGACAGCTATCATTTTTTGACATGTCAGAGATGGCAAACCTTTTTCGCCGGGCACATTTTGAAGTCATGAGTCTGAACATCTGAGTCTATACATACATTTTATTGTTAGATAAATGTATACATTTTATTAAGTGCGCTGCTCCACATTAAAAGTGGTTTAACGGCGAGTGGTAATTACGTCCCTTTTCTTCACAAGCAGTAAAAAACGCACAAGTAAAGATAACATTTTAATTTTTTTTAAAGGTTTACTAAACCTGGAATTAGTAAGCAGTGATGCCAGCTAAAGAATAAAATTAAGTAATTAAAGTTAATTCGATATATTGTTCGTGATATTGAAATATTTGTTATTTTTGTATTAGGTCACTTGAGTAAGTAAATATTTAGATTTACCTTTTTGTAGGTAAAACATAAAAATACGTTGCATTTAATTTTATTGCCCGCAATATAAATGTCAGAATGTGTCCCTTTTATAGTAGCAACGGTGGAGAACTTTTATAGTAGCAACACTTATGTCAGAATTCTACGGAATAAAAAATCAGAGTATAGTATCATTAATTTAGAATTATTTTCATTCATTCCGTTTTGCCGCGCACCACCACTATGTGGAACCAGTTCACTGAAGTATTTCCGAACCAATTCGATCGCACTTGCGAGCCTCCTGGAACTGTGAATGTCTATGGGCGGCGGTATCACTTAATATCAGTAGAGCCTGCCCCATTTGCCAACTATCACATAAAAAAAAGTTTTAAATAAGCAGATTTTCAGCCATTGAGATGGTATAAGTTATAAATTTGTTTATTTTTATATCGAAATCGTCAATAAGAACAAATAATTAATCCGTAAAATTTGTAAAAAAACGCAGAGACGAGACATATTAATCAAATCGGTGAGATATATATTCTTCTTTGGAGGATATACCATTTTTATTCAAAACATTCAAAATTCAAAAGCATTTATTCATATAGGTAAGACAATGTACACCTATGAACGTCAAAAAAGAAATATACATTAAATGTTTCTAATTTTACATTTACTGCCAGTTCTCAAATCAAGAGCGTAGAACGGAAGAGAAGAACTGGCAATAAAGTCTATTTATTATTGGTTAACTTTAATCAACATTTTGTGGTTCTAGTTTAACGGGGCATGTACTCTTACAACTTATGGTTAATTTTAAAAATATTTCTTAACTCTTAGTTACAATTTAACTATCTCTGTTAGAAAAATAACGACAGCATTTTATATTTTAATTGAATTTACGAATACGTAAAAGTTTGGTGGGAAGCGAAGTTTACCTTGTTAAGTATAGCATCTGGCGTGTCTGCCGGCATCCGCGTAGCCACATGGAACAGGGCCTCCAAGGTGAGAGTGGCCAAGTAAGGGGCACTCGTGCCTCCGCCTCCTCCGCCTCGGAGCCCACCCGCGAAACCCACGTGGCTCTCTAGTTCCACCTGGAAAGTATTCATCATTTTATTTCACAAAGAAGCTGGAGCTGCAACCATTACACGATCAAGGTGATATAGATTCCATCATAGTAATAAAAAGGTATTACATGATGCTTCTTTTTTATAGAACGGGCAGGAGGCTCATCTGATGTAAATTGATGAGACGGCTCGCGAGTGCGTTGCCCGCCTTTCAAGAATTGGTCCGTTCTTTTCTTGAAAAACCCAAAGCTCAATTTTAGAAGTTAGAACGACGGACGTCGAGGTGATACGGATGGTATTTTGTATTCTGCCTCGACGTCCGATGATGAAACTCAGCTGCAGGTATTAATCCGAACAACTCCTCTGAACACTCTCCTGGTAAATGCTGTCTTTGGCTAACGTGAATATTACGTCAACGAATAAGTTTGTTTCAAGACGAAACTGACAATAAAAAAAAGCGTTAGTTAAAATCCTTGTGAAAATGCTATTAGATTTATAAATACGTAAAAATTACCTCCCAAGCAAGAGCAGCCAAAAAGGCCTCATAAGCTGCGCTGCCGCAACGATTCGACAAGATTTCGTTTCTTGTCTCTTGCCCCTTGCCCACGTATATCACGGCCACTTTGTGCGTTTCACGACACCTGTCGAGTATATTTTCATAAATCAAAATAGTGAAATATTAATAAAATAATTTATCCTGTTTGGCTCAGAAGGGTTGCGCTTGTGGTTTGTACAGGAATTTGTATAAATATGTATCGATAATGTTACACTTTTTGAAGTGAAACTTCTTTAGGCGCGTGAGGGTAAAATTTTGTACAGATACGTCACGAAGATGTGCAGCGTTTTTGTCGAGAAAAGGGAGAGAGCGTTGAGACCGATTGAGAGAGAGTGAGAAGGGCGAATTACCTTATAGAAATTCTATTTTTAAAATTAAAATTTCGTCAAGAGAATTTATTAAATAGTAGTATTTTATATTTTATGCAAAATAATTTATTGAAATCTCAAATGACGAATTGTAAATTATATTTTAACCACCGTGTTTTTATCATTGAAGAAATAAATTAAAAAGAAATATATAATTAGTATTTATTTTCGACACTTTAAAAAGACTTAAAATACATCAGAAATACATCAACAAATTACCTCTGCGCATCGAGATTCCTCAATTCCCGCAACAGTCTATCGGTGCGTTTCAAAAGATGCGCGTGCGCACGTCTCGCAGGCGCCAGAGTACCCAATTGCGACACAAGCTGACTCGACGCAGCGAAAACGTTTTCGCTCGAACCACTGATTGATGATATGTCAACGGATTCTACATCTTCCTCACTGAAAATATTGAAAAATGAAAATGCTGTATTAATTTTTATTTACGAACCTTTGCCTGTAAAAATTCAATACAAAAGTAATAATATCACATTATAATTACAATAGTTATAAAACTACATTACAATTACAATAATAATATCCCATTACAATTGTAATAATACTACGTTACAATTTCAATTGTAATAATACCAAATTAGAACAATAATAATATCCCATTACATTTGTCATATTACGGCATTATTACAATTGTAAACTAATTTACAATAATAATAGCCAATCGGTATTAAATAGTCGATCAACTAAGTTACAAAGGCAATATAGACACGATAAAGGCAACGAAATATCTATTATATTAACAAGATCCGTATTACTTACAATCTCTATACAAAAAACATCTCTATAATATGGAAACAAACCTGTCTCTATTCTGTAGGTAGTGTCTTTCGGCGTTCCTATGAGCTACGAGTGCGCAAACCAATTCATCTTCAAGTCCTGGTGGTAAGGGAGATGGTCCTGCCTCGTCCAGTCTTCTTCCGCACGTGACCTCTGGTGACGTATGGCCTATGTAGGCTAAAACCTAAAAAAATAATTAAATTTTATTTTCTTAACAATAGATAAATTTTTGTGTCTCTTACTCTATAACACGGTAGATTGGTTCCACGTTACGGATTTCAAGTATTATGTAACGAATTTTGGGGGAGGGGGGTCCTTTCGTAAAACGTTACGTTGCGGGGCGGGGATTGAATTACGCGTTATTGTTAATATTATTTTCGACTTTCTAGTACTTTACACCACATAATGGTAACTTTTGGGTATAATGAGTCACTTTGGTGGTCACGATTCACGAATCGTTTTACTATTGGGTACAGAAAATCGTTACGGCGCGTTACATGGGGGGAGAGGCTGTTAATAATCTCCAAAAATTGCGTGACGTAATACTTGAACGCTAACTTATAGGAAACGCGTTGTAGGAGTATTTCCCGCATAACGCGCTTGTATGACCCCATATAACGCGTTATGTACAAATGATTCACGTTTAACTTTTATTCGTAAAAGAGAATTTAAATCGAATATTAAGAAAAACTATGTTATAAACGAAATAAGTGCGTACAAATCATTATAAATATCACAGTATCGAAATATATATGCGTTATATGGATACCTGTGTTATACGAGGGACTGAAATCGCGTAATATGAATATAGTTACAAGAGTACCGTGTTATATATATTGCCAGGAATCAAACCCAGGTTATCCGCGAACACGTAGGCGTAAATAAATTCTAATAGTTTTTCTTATTAATTTTACAGAATAATACAATCTAAATCAAGGTATATTACATTTTAAAACTGTGGTTAGTATTAGTGTAACAATAGCAGTCTTGTCAGGAGCCCGACATATAATTCTTCAACTATGTTTTTTTATGTTTTTCGTTAGGCTATCTAATAACTGACCGGGCAGTCCATTTATTAGCCCGGGTCTTGCTTAACTCTTAATATCACCTCGAAAAAAGTTAGCAAATTATATAATAAAGGTATATTACATGATCCAGTTGATGTTTGTCTGGCGGTGAATTCCTGTAGTCCGGCAGGAGATCAGGGGGTAATGGCGGCGGTAATGATGAGAGGGTGTTGTCTCTCGGTGTCTCTACACTGAAATATCATTTCATCATCAGCGAATTAAAACAGATGCAGACGAGACATTTGTTCTAAAATTATAAGGTTCACTTTAAGGTTTGTAAATATCTAATAATTATCACAAACACATTGTGGACGGTTAAATATTCAATCATTCATTCCCGGCTTAATCTCGCAGCTTAAGAGTTCCCGACTCTTCGGCGGCCTATTTGTGAAGCGTATATAATATACTGTGTATTTAATAACGTACTTGGAAAAAATTATCTATAGGAAACGGTGTCTGGTATTATTTTATAAATAATTTAATTGTATGTAAAATAGTTTTGTAAAATTTTGGTAAATTTGCCAAATCACTGCTCCACCTTAAAACAGCTCCAATTTTTTTTCTATCGTTCTTTACGACTTGTATGTAGTACAAGTAACATTAAGGAGACGCATGGATTTGGCGACTTCAAATATGTCAAAACTGATATTTATTATTCTTTGATTCTAAGTGGCGTTTGATCTTGGTTGACCTGATCAAGGTTAGGTTAAATCCAAAATTTGTATCTCCTTTCATTCATTTCACAAATCATGGTGTTTTAATTAATTTCTATGTGGCTAAAGACCATGCGCCACCACATTATTGCATGGAACACCATTGCCGAGTGATGAAATTACGCAGAAATATTTTGGAGCTGTTTTAAGGGGGAGCCGTGATTAGACAATTTTTTTTGTTACAATTCAGCTATGTTATGCTGTGATTAATTAATTTCACGTAAATCTAATATCCTACTAAACAAACCTAATCGGTTCTATACATAGAAATAAAAAAGTGTGTGTGTGTCAGCGACGCACGATTGGAGTTTACTCCTTACGAACGATAATTATGATATATATCGAATAGAAAAAAATAGAAATGGGTCGTAATAATTTAATATAAGTATTATAAAATATTATATAAATATAAAATATATTTAATCAATTAATTAAAAATAATAAACAAAGATGGCGATGTTCTGTGGCTGTCGACCATATTTTCATACTAAAGGTGGTAAGAATATATGTTTTTATAATATAAATGTTTGTAGTAGTAATAAAACGTACCTACATCATCTATGCCCAAATAGGATTTTCTTTCTGTGACCAAAGTTACCTTTATAGTAAGAGAAGAATAAGAATGAACAATCTTTTTAGTTTTAATTTCACTGACCATTACTATTGACAAAACTCTAATCTACTTTTATTTTTTACACCTGTCAACACTGCCAATGTTGTAACGTGGCTGTCAAAACGTGAATTCAAAATAGAAGTCTGTGTAATGTTTTACACGTTATATCCTACAGATATATATGTTTGTCTCTTTCTACATAACGCCTCAACTTTTCGTGTTACACTTGATTTTACTCCTCATAAAATTTCCGTACCGGGCCTTATAACTCAAATCGTTTCTTAAGCAGTAAACTCCTAAAACAGCAATAGTCCTAGTCTGGAATTAAATATGAATCAGAAACAGTAAATGTTTTAACTATTGAGAACATACACTTTAGGTAGAGGTAAGGGCTCAATAACTTCAGCGGACGTCACCGAAGGGTCGTAGTACAGCGCAGAGGCGTCCCAACAAGATTTGCCCGTGATGTCACGCAATAACACGCGCACTTGACGGTCTGACGTCACCAGTCCTGTGAGAAAATAAGTAAGCTAAACAATACATAGAATACATGACCCCATGAATTGTAGAAAAATTGCTTATATTTTGTTCTCTTCAATCTCCTTTAATTAGTGAATTAGTGTTGGTGCACGTTTGTCTTAAGTGCTAAAAGTAAGTGAAAAAATATAAGACAAGAACAAAGTGTCTACCCCTTAATATAGACTGTAAGTAGTGTTATAGGACACTTTCTTATGTGCAAAATACTTTATCGTTCGTTGTAAATCTCTGTGCCATATTTTTCGTCTATCGAGCAACCCACGCTTTTTCACAATAATAACAGTATTTTTTGTTCATTACCATTTTCAGCCTAAATGAGGAATTATTTTTCACTTTTTAGTTTGATGTGATTTAAAAGCGTGTTTTTTAGTTTTTTAAACTATATTTATTTTTTGAGTGAGAATTATTGATTACCTACTAAGTAATAAATAGTAATTTTTGAAGTGCATTCATTTTATTTGACCGACACCCTTGTTTCATTCCTAACTCTATGGACATATAACGTTCTACTATAATCAGGGACAACCTTCGGACAGTTGACAATTTTAAGATTGTAATTTGACGGTTTCACTTCGATAGATTACAATCTACCGAATAATAATACGTTAAATTGTAAGGAGTACGCTGAGGTTCACAATCTTTCGACAGTTTATAATCTCGCGAGATAGATTACAATCTAACGGTATTTACAATTTAACGTTAACATATACACAGAGGAAGTCAACCAATCGATTATAAATTTATATGAAAACTAATGAGATTTTTATTTTTGTCGCACATTATAACGCCGGCAATGAATTCGTGCACGTGCGTGACTTGAAAGTGTACATGGGCGGTGGTATCGCTTAATATCTGATGAGGCCCTGCCTTCTGTTTATAAAAACAAACACTTAACTTTTTTTTAAATCTTTTATATTATCTGTATTTACCTGGGGTAGTCCCTCCCTGAGGCAAATCCAACGCTGGCAACTCAATAAACGATGCCAACGTGGAATCACTCAATCTCATGACTTGTATATGAGGCGCTGTGAGTACCGGAGGACCGAGTTCTGTCCCAAGAGAAGGAATGCTGTCATGTTGTTCGCAAACCGTCGAGGAGAGCTGGCATCCTGTCCATAATGGCCAATGACCCAGGTAGAGCACCAGCTGGGAGCATATCTGTAGGAAATATGTTTGACATTCGAAAAAACCTTCTTAGATCATGTACAGTATTAATAGTTTTAGATATCAATTGCATTTTACATAGAACCTAATCTGCTTGTCACTTAAGAAATGTTTCTTAATTACCAATTTTTAAATAATACAAGAAATTAATTCTTCTAAGATGGCAAAAAGTCTTTCGGTTTAAAAGGAAAAAAGGGTGAAAACTTTTCAGTTAAGCGATGTAGACACGAGTCTCTGACGCTTCAATAAAATACTTTTTCTTAAATTCCCAATTTTTTTTACACTTTTTTAGTTAAGCACAGATTTCGACAGATAAAATAATGACTATACAAACATGAAATGTATCCTGAGCGATTTTGAATATTTTGGCATTTATGATTTATTCTTAGAAAACAAAACGTATTAAACTGAAGTTTAGTTACCCACAATACTAGCCCAAAAAAACTTAACTAAATGATGTGCTATTATATTTTTAAGTACTTTTTACTTCGAAAAAAGAGCAGTGTTCGCCTAGCGGCTTCAGCATGCGACTCTCATCCCTGAGGTCGTAAGTTCGATTCCCAGCTGTGCATCAATGAACTTTCTTTCTATGTGCGCATTTAACATTCGCTCGAACGGTAGAGGAAAACATCGTGAGGAAACCGGCTTGCCTTAGACCCAAAAAGTCGACGGCTTGTATCAGGCACTGGAGGCTGATCACCTACTTGCCTATAAGACAAATGATTATGAAACACATTCAGAAATTTAAGGCCCATACTTAAAAAGGTTGAAGCGCCACTCATTTATTTTTAGTTTTTAAGTTACTAATTCAATTCTTACTGTCTGTGCCCATAACTTGACATCAATACTTGAAGCAGGAACTGTCTTAGGCCCTAAATTATCCAATTGGATATTTGGGTCAAAATCTTCATCCACGGGCAAAGTCAGACCTTCGATGTCTGCACCGTTCGTGCCTTTCATTACAGCATACAAAACCTGAAAATAAATAACACTGTAATGCCTCATACTTGGGTGAGTCTATGAAATTATAATTCTTGTCTTTATACAAAATTAATGAGAATTATATTTCTTCTACGTTTTAATGGAAGATATCTTGTCTTTCCATTAGTAGGTACCTATATAGTCGATCCACATAAAAAAAACGGTTTTAGATAATTTTTTATCAAATTTTACGTACAATTACTAAATTTAATAAAAAAAAGTGCGTGCGTACGAAGTACACATTCCACATGTCAGAAGTGAAACGAATACATCAACCAATAGTGTATTTTTTTTCGATCTACCTTACTCTCTCTCTCAATCTTTCTCACTATAGCTCTCTCCCACCTCTCGCTCCATGGCACTATGCGCGCGGATGCGACGTTCGCTCTATCTCATTCTCTTTCTCTCTCGATCTTTCTCACTACTCTCGCTCCATGGCTATTTTCTTCATGCTACGTTCGCCCTTTCTCACTCTCTCTCAATCGCTCCCTTCTTCGACAAAAACGCTACACATCTTCGTGACGCTAATATTATTATTATTGCGTTTCATCCATAAAATTTTACCCTCATGCGCCTAAAGAAGTTTCACTTAAAAAATGTAACCAAAATGAAAAGGTCACTTATGTCGAAATGTTGGCATAATGCAATAATAGGTCAAGGATTTCTCAGTATACCGATAAAATACTTGTGTATTGTGAAAAAACTATATAATTTAGCACTAAACATACATGTTAGAAATCCATCTCTTTATTCATTAGCACCATGTTACGTGCGCTTGCGACTCTCAGACAATTTTGTCATATGTTAGAGCTTGTACTTATAATGCGGTAGTAGAAAGGAATATTCACAGTCAACAGCCGTCTTCGCTAGAAGTACATTGTTCAGTAGTCCAAAGACAGTTTTAAATCAGACATCATGCAAAAATTCGTAAGTTTAATGAATTTGTGATTTTATAGCGATTCATATTTTCAGAAATTTAGCGATAAAGAATAGTTTTTTCTGTTTTCATCCTTAAATCAACAAAGTTGTTTACACGTTTCAGAATTTTTGCTTTCTGCACTAGTAATTAGTATTTTGTAATTTAATATATACTATAAAATACTTACTAATTGCTTTAAAATCTCAGACATTACTGGTTTCATTTTAACAATTACTTTTGTAAAAAGGCAACAACCGAACCGAAACCAAGCAAGCTGGTATAGGATAATCCAATAAATTTAATTATGGTTTCCAGGTGTTGGTAGCCCTTGCTCTTGTCGCCGTGGCGGCCGCTGCGCCCCAACAAGCTGCCCCAGAACCGATCTACATACTCAAACACGACGCCATTGTCAACCCAGACGGATACAACTTTGAGTAAGTTCAACAATAATTTATATCACTACTACGTTTACAGTCGAATAATTAATTGGAATATATATCTATTGCTAGTTTCTCATAAAAAGCAATTCCTTATCAATTAACAATATTTTTTTTACATTTAGACAATCTAAACGTTTCCCGATATTTATAAATTCAACCTCACTTGAACATTAAAAAAACCATTTTATTTGAACGTTATAGTAATTATAATAACTAAGCCTCAATCTTAAGCATCAGCCTTGAAAAGAAAACAAATAATATATATATATCTTTTTTAAGGACCTCTTATTGAGTATAGGCCTCCTCCAATTGGCTCTATCTCTCATGTGAACATTATATTGATAATTAATCTTCAGGTTTGAGACCAGCGATGGCACCCAGCGTCAAGAAAGCGGTACACTTAAGCAAATTTCTGAAGACGTCAAGGCGCTTGCAGTGCAAGGCAGCTACAAATACGCAGCCCCCGACGGACTTATTTACACCGTGACCTACGTGGCTGACGAACACGGCTTCCAGCCCCAGGAACGCGTCGAACACCCCGGACAATAAATTGGAATAATCTTGCAATACTTAGTTAAGATCAAGGAGTTCTAACACCTAAGCATCGTTGATTTGGTTAATTTGATCGGCAAGCTAACCACTTAAATCAAATGATGTCATCGAACAACGAAAGTTACGATATTGTCGTCAATGGTCAATTCATCGCTATTGAATTTAGGTTGTAAGCTGCTGATTTCATGGCCATATTGAAATAGGAAATGTCACCACAGACATATGACCACATGGTCAAATAACTCAAGTGAAAGATTTCTAAGTGTTGACAATTGTTCTTTCCATTATATTAATGGAGTCTGTGATTTTTGTATTGATTTCTATTTTTTTACTGTTTTTAATCTTTAAATAAATGTTTTGTTTCATATTCTTATATTTTAATTAATCGACTTTAAAAAGAGGAGGTTGTCAGCCGAATATAATGATTTGTACAATATTTGCTTCCAAGAACGTGTGCTTGTTTATTTATTTATGTGTTCAAAAACTTTATCGAAATCATTTCAATAGATTTTGACACGCATATAGGGATAATTTTAATTTAATTTTTTTCAATTACGTTTTTTTAGCAATATTTTATTTTTTTATTTTCTAAAAATCAAAGTTCTTTAGTGTAGCCAATGCAAAAACATATAAGTATTCTAATTTCAAGTAACGAACGTAATTTTTAGAAAGTAGTATGCTAACTACAAGCAAGAGACAAAAACCAAATTACACACATCACAAACAATAGGTTTATTTGTGTGGTTAAATAGGTGTGAATTGTTTAAACACACTTTAAGGTAGCGTAATACTTTAGCACAATAATTTGTTCGTAAATGTTACATAAGTCATAGAAATTAACCTAAACTCATCAACGTTAATAATATTATACCCTTCCGTTTTTATCTTTTACCAAATATTATTTGTTTACGAAATCAGGGACTTTGGCGCTAGAAACTTGACTGACGAATCTGTTACTTAGGTTTTTGTACTCACCCTAAATATCATAAGGAGCAGGGTCTGCTCGTCTTGCTCGTGCTGCATGAGCAGCGAGGGTCCACAGCGAACAGCGAATTCGGCGAGGCATAAGAGTAACGAGCCAGCCAGCGGCCGTACATTGTCTCTACCGCCATTATGCGATATTTGTGCCAAACACGCACAAATGCACGTTATTATTTTCTCTGTGAACAATTATATAAAGATTTTTAATAGAAGATATTATTATATATATTAATATCTCTCTATATATAAAATTCTCGAGTCACAATGTTCGTTCCCATACTCATCCGAAACGGCTCGACCGATTCTTATGAATTTTTTTATACTTGTTCATTTATATTTCAAACTCCAAAGTGATATAGTGGTGTCCACCCCAAAATTTTATTTTTTGAATAAATTTTTTTGTTTATATTTTTTTTATTACGTGGCATTAAAAAATTTATATAACCATTAATTTTCACCCCTCTACGATCAACCCTTATTTTTTATTTGTTAATTAAAACTTATGACTTGAACTCCGAAGTTTATATAGAGAAAAATTCACAGAAAATCTAAAAGTTTTCATAAAATCACATTAAGGAGAAACGAAGTTCGCGGAGGTAGCTTATATATATATAAGCCTTGTTCTTTGTAATATATATATATATTACAAAGAACAAGGGGCAAACGGGAAGCTTACCTGATGTTAAGTGGACACCCTAAATGCCAGAAGGTTCGAGAGTGCGTTGCCAGAAAGAATTGGTACGCTCTCTTCCTGAAGGACCCTAAGTCGATTTGGTTCAAATACTACTTTTAAAGTTAGTTTAAAATTGGCGTAGATTTATATCACGTAATATTTAGAATGTGGGATAACAGTTTTCTGCTAAGACTGTAAATATATGCTAAGACAGTAATTTCAGATGCTTTGATTTAAATTAGATTGCTACTAAATAAATTACTTAAAACTATTCATATATAATAATATACACAATAAGAATCTCACCAGCAAGTCCCGGGTACATCTCGACGATTCTATCAGTGTAGTCCGCTAAAACGAGCACAGCATCGCTAACTACTTTGGCTATTGTTTTGTTCTTCATCTAAAACAAAATTGTATAATAAATAGTTGTCAAGCCGGATAATGAAAACTCCTCTTGAATCCTGTCGTAAAATGAGAATACATTTTCTTCCCTTCATCTGATAAATAGTCTTGTGTTATTTACTATCCTAGAAAATCGATGATAAAATCTTTATGAATTTTCTACTTCCACCTTATATCTTATTTGACGACTCATTGGGCTAGTGGTGACCCCTGACTGCGAATCCATGGGTCCCGGGTTCGATCGCCGGCTGAGACGAACATCGATGTGATGAGCATTTGGTGTTGTGCTTAGGTCTTGGGCGTTTAAAATGTATTTATATGTGTATCTATCTATAATATGTAAGTATATCCGTTGCCACTTGCCTAGTACCCATAACACAAGCTTCACCAGCTTAGCATGGGACTAGGTCAATTGGTGTGAATTGTCTTAAAAAAAAACCTTATACAAGGAACGTCTAGTATTAATACAGTTTTCACTGCATAAGGATGGCTCCTTATTTGACATGTTTTTCATTTAATAAGTTAATGGCAAAAAAATATTAATGTTCAATTTTTTTAAAAGCATACTAAGAAATACTAACCATCAACATCTGCAGCAAACAAGTAACATAGGCCGGCAACCGTTCGCAGTGAGTACGCGTCGCGAGCAAATGGCATACGTGGGCGACGAGCGCGCACGCGCCCGCACAACGAGCTGCGGCCGCGCCTTCGCGACGACACACGCGCACTACTATGTTTAGTACGTGTTCCTGTACGTATTTAAAATAAAGTAACCAAAAATGAAAAGGAAAATTAATCTCCAAACTTTTATTTGATTTTTTGAGCAAAAATTTAAAAAATAACGGTTTATCGAATAAAGTTAAATTCATTTACATTCTTATATATAGTAACTAAATCAAATAAGCAATTCTGTTAACATTAATCATACCTTCAGGTCAGGGCAGGAAACCGTATTGTACTGATGAGGATATGGCTGCAGCATTGGTGCACTCATCAGACCGTCTGGTAAAGACAACAGCGAAGCCAGAAATGTCACAGCGGCCGTTCGAGGACACTACCACAAAACATCCATAAGTTTAGGTTTTGAGTTTAAGAGGTTTTTGAGTAAGATCGCCTACTTAGAGATATTATTACAATCAGAATTCAATTGAATTTTTGTATGCTATACCTTAGACAAGATATAGTTTCTTACCGATGGCCCCATGTCCGAAGAATTAAGAACAATAGTCGACGCATGAACGAAATCCAGGAGTAATAATGAATATCCGTCCAGAGCCAGTGAGAGATATCGCGGTGCCGCAAACTCAACTAACACGTCCACCACTGAACGATCTTCGCCCGTCAGACCTATATAAATTATTAATTAATAAAAAATATATATATATTATTTTTCGTATCATAAGGTGTGTTTTGGAAATAATAATAACGTATCACTAAATTTTTACAAACTGGTTAGAGACGTTACTGCTGAAATTTTAATTAATTTATACAATATTTGTAAAAAATACTCTAAAAATATAAATAAGAAGCAATCATTAAATAATAATTACCAGTGTCACAAAAACCTTTTTAGGTCTGGGCCTCACATTTCGGTGTCTGTTGATGATTTGTCAATCTAATAGGCAAATAGGTGATCAGCCTTCTGTGCCTGACACACACCGTCGACTTTTTGGGTCCAAGACAAGCCGATTTCCTCACGATGTTTTCCTTCACTGTTCGAGCGAATGTAAAATGCGCACATGCACAGAAACTCCATTGGTGCACAACCGCGAAACGAACCTACGACCTCAGAGAGTCGCATGCTGTAACCACTAGTCCAGTTTTCTTTACTAATATAATAAAGAGAAAAGATTTCTCTGCTTGTTTATAACGAATAAACTTAAAAAATCTGGTCCAGTTTAAAAAAAGGAGTAGAGGACTTAATTTATTTCCAAAATACATACCATGGTGCAGTGCTCTTTGGTATAAGTTTAGGTGTGCTAAATGCAGCCTGTTGTTGCACGAAGAAGGCGCCCCCGGGCCTTGCGCCTGCGTCGACTCGCATAGTAATCGCAGTGCCAATAACTTTCCCGCCCTGGAGTAAATTTTATATTAATTTAACAGTGCAGTTAAAACATTTAAATGGCTATTACATAAATACCAATTATTACTAAAACAAGAAATAAATATATCCGATTAGATAATCTAATAACAACTATAAAAATCACACGGACAACTTTTATTAATAGAGTCAAAATAAGAAATCATGTTTCATCAAATCACATATGTCGTAAAGCTTCTTATCTTATCAAAACATAATTCTACGGAAGCAATATGTACAAATACAATGACGACACGTTTCCTTATTAATAAACGTACTATTTTATTATTATTTTGGAAATTTAAAACAAAACAATAATAAACTAGCGTTTGATACGTTTATGAAAAACGCTAAACAATTAACAAAATAACAGTAGTATTTTTTTAAAGAGGGCAAACGGGCCTTCGGCTCACCTGATGTTAAGTGACACTTTTAATTCCAGAGGGCTCGCGATTGTGTTGTCGGCCTTTAAACTATACCATTTTTAAATTTATTCGTAGAAATTTCCACAAATATTACGAGTATCTAATAGCGCTCCTTTCTTCGCTCATACACATTTTCAAAGTCATTCAATTGTAATTGCAATTTCTGATTGAATTTTAGTTTGTATTTAAATCTTACCTATGTGATGATGGCAATGCCTCCGCCTCCAGACACCATCCAGCCACCAAGTTAAACGGCACATGGATCTCCGTATTCCCATTGAGCGTCTGATTAGCACTTATCTGTTAAAAAACAATAAATTGAACACACAAACTTTACGATATCACAAACAATGTACATTTTCGATATCAAAAAAAAAACCTTCACGGATTCATCTGAAAAAAACTCGACGATTACAGATTGGTGATTAAAATTAAACAGCGTATCGAGAATATTCAGAGCCATAACAAATACATTTAAAACTACCCTCAATTACACGAAAATAATACCTCTCGCCTTCGCAACCGTCTCAACCACCGCCTTTTTCCTGCTCCTCTTTCGCATTGGCAATGCTTGAATAATTTATTATTGGACAACAGTTCGCACAACCGAAATAGAACCATACAAGAACAGTGCGATTCCAGTTATAAAACAAACAAAATCGAAAACAGATGACAATAGATGAGATAAACGCTTAAATGTAAATATCCTATTTCACCATCTGTCGAACATTGCGAGGTACGGAATGATAATATTTGTGATTAGTATCACATCACTTGAGGTGGTAATGGGTGGAACACCTACTTTATTTACATTTTAGAATGTAAACAAATTTCGTTCAATTATTATCAAATCGTTAATTTTTAGCGGTAATAACGTCACTTTAATATTATTTCGTTATTAAATCCACTTGTATAATGATTTTCCGATACGTGACCAACGAAACGAAATGGAAAACGTAATGCTTCAATGTTCTATTATAAATGAAAATTATAATAACCAGTAATTCACCGTGAATTTCGACACGGACGAAACTTATTGTTTCGATCAGTTCTACATTTTTCATAGTTGAGATTCGTCTTGTATTGCAGCGCCGATAAAAAGTGTTTTTTTTATATTATGGTAATAGTTTTCACTTTATGCCAGTTTCAAGAAAGTGAATTTTAATAATGAAATTAAAGTATTCATCTGCAGCATGTTTGGAAATAATAAATAACTTCCAATTAAATTAATAGCCAGTACACGTTCTTAAAAATTACAATAAAAATAAACATTAATTTAAAAAATACGAAGTATTTCTTCCTGTTTCTTTTATGAGATATGACCGGTTGTTTTTTATTTATTTACGATAAAACTATAACCAAGAATTTATCAAGGCCAAGGCCAAATAGTGATTTTAATTTTATTGCAGTTTAGGTGTGTTTAATTGCATAAAACTGCGCCAAAACAAAGCAATGTATGTACCAAGTTTGATTAGAATAAGAAAATTTAAAAATAAATGTATATAATAGAAAAATACTTAAACAGTTAAAAAACATATAAACAGTCGTTATGTAACCTATCACCCAAGTAATATTAAAAACGCGAAAGTTTGTAAATATGGATGGATGTTAGTGACTCTTTCACGTAAAAACTACTGAATGGATTTTATTGAAAATTTACAATAATATCGCTAATAGATCCGAAAAACACATAGGCTACAATTTATTAAGATATTGTGTGAATTGTCCAAAATATCAAGAAGGAAAGAATCTACCATCTGCAAGCCATTCTGGCGTGCGCTGCCGAAACCGCAAGAGTTACACATATGAAATGTATGATGGTAATGTTTATCTTAAATAGTCCTACAAAAAAGCCCGCCACAGTATATATCTATATCTTATGTGTAAGCCAATATAGCCAAAATAGTGGACCATAACTACAATAAAAATTTTAAATTTATTTTTAATGCACATTTGGTAGTAAATAAATTGATTCCTAAATGAAAAATGGATACAATAAAGTAGATAAAATATATCTTTCACGCTACATCATTTGGACATATATTATTTTAATCCTGCCCAGACAAAGTCGCGGGCACCAGCTAGTATGTATATATTTTAGTTAATAATTAGAATTGTAAACCAAATATTACCAATCCTCGCACACTTGACGCCAAAATGAGCCTTTTTTCCACACTCATAAATTGTAATATAACATTCTCGTTTTCGTTTATGTCCAAAAAGGTCAACTACACTTTTATTCAAGTGTCACTTAGATTTAAGAACCGTTAAATAAGCGAAGTTAGTTTTTGTTAGCAACCCCACTACCCCTAATTTTGTCTGTTATAAGCTCATGTTTTAAACAATTAAAGCCAGTTGACACCCGGCTTCAAACAAAGTGTTTCATTTAACATATCTACAACCGCCACCGAAATTAACTCAATGATATTATTTTTTTCGTTTGTAGGTAATTAATGAATAACGCCAGGAATTTTATTTTCTTGGTTTTAGTTTTTTGTAAAATTTAAATAAACATTTATTTTAACTCTACTTATAGTTTGTAGTGTTAGACACTATGACCAAAACTACACTAAGACAAAATCACGCACTCACACACATAAAGAAGCACTTATAAATCATTACACTGACCTTAATAAGAGTGGCATTAAGATGTATCAAGTAGTTGAACAAATGATGGTGGGCATGAGGATCCTTTAAGGCGTTTGGGTCTCCCAAGGCTGCCATCATCCTCCTCCACATGACCCAGGCGACGTCGGGCAACCAGCCCCTCGCCCTGCCCCCCATAACTACCCCCACTCCCCCTGACCCCCTCACGTCTCCCTCCATACAATCCCCCCCATCACCGGCGTCCGCCTCCGACCATTCTACATAAGTACGGATTAGGTTAAGACTTGTTTGACGACTGATATAAACTCACTGCCATGATTTTACAATTATTAGGGATTTTCCGATGAAGTTAGCAGCGGCTATGTAACTTATAAAGGGTAATGCTTTGATGACGTTTAGTTTTCAAAGATTAAATTAATAAAAACGGAATTGGGTTCAGAAAAATATTAATTTGTGAAAATAATAAGTATCATTATTAATTATGTATTAATGTTTTATATAAATATATATTAACTAAACACAGTGTAAATAACATACAAAAATTATAATTTTTATGTTTAAATGCTGTGTATATCATAACTTATTTAGTGCATATTGCAGAAAAAGGATTGACTTGATTTTTCTATGAACATATTCACTATGAATATTTTAATAATTGGTAAACTTCATTAGATGCCTCATTAGATGCCTGTTCTTCACTGCTGTTACAAACAAAATAACTTACCAACATTGCCGCCATCAGAAGCTAGATCTATTTGCAAGGGCGAGTCTTTGATTGAACTGCTTTCAACGCCGCTAGATGGCGCTGGAGACGGTGATCGTGAACCTAACCAAATACAAATTAAAAATAAAGACAACATAGTGATAACAAAAATATAAACACAAATTAACAGTTTCTGACTTAAATTGTTAAAGAATATGCTAACATTCCTTTGCCAAGAAACCTTAAAAGTACAAAAAGTTTCTAACAAGTTCCATTTTCTTTACACACAATCAATTTAAAAAAAGAATTCAAAAGTCCGTTTGCCAATCCGGACATTCTTCTCTCCCTTTCTCGCCTCACTCTTGACCAACCTGCAACCACTTTATTTCATCTTCCCATCTCATATTATAGTTTTACTCCACTTATCAACTCCTCATGTATCGTGTCCTGTCCATCTCCTTGTCCTTTCAAATACTCTTTGTGATGTCCTGTATCCTTGCGTGTTCCTAATTTAAATATCTCTAACCCTATCTCTTTTTTATATAAACTTTTCTCGTTGCTCTTTGATAATTATTGGTATACACATAAAAGCTTACCGCTGGCGGAATCCCTTTCCTCATTTTGTGAAGAGTGTCTCAACGAGTCCAAGGAGTACCATCGCCGCTTACCATCAATTGGATCTTTGGTTTCATCTGTGCATAAATATTATATTTTATATATATATCGCCACTGTAGAATGAGCTCGTTTGTCAAACCAGTTGTTTTTTTATTCTTAGACTCTTGTCATTTAACTGGTAAAATCACGAAGTAGGGACTTATTTATGTTAATAATAAATAAATAAGTCTAATAATATTTTATTTTTACGAACATTAACGAAATGAAACTTTTTTTTCGTTTCCTGTAATATTTGGTTCTCTGGACATACGAGGGTATCATTTTACAGCAACGATATATATAAATAAAAAGAAATCAGAGGCGCTACAACAAAATAAAAATAAAAAATTAAACTTTTTGGGCCTCAGATATGTATCTGTTTCATGATCATTTGTCAATCTAATAAAGTAGGTGATCAGCCTCATGTGCGTTATACACGCCGTCGAATTTTTGGGTCTTAGCCAAGTCGGTTTCCTCACGATGTTTTCCTTCACCGCTCAAGCGAATGTTAAATGCGCACATAGATAGAAAATCCATTGATGCACAGCCGGGGATCGAACCTATGACCTCAGGAATTAGAGTCACACGCTTAAGCCCCTAGGCCAACACTGCTGCTATATCATATATACCATTAATAAATCTTTAAACTGATGTATAGGTTTCGATTTGGGATTTTAATAAAAATAGGAAATAAATATCAGTGTCTGATATTCAAATTAAGTTTTAGAGCATGGATAAATCACTTTCTTTTTGAAATTTTCCAAATCAATGAATAATACTTTACCTTGTGAGTTCTGCGGTGTGTGCGCATGTCTATTTAAGTGGGGGTCACTCCGACAACGGGCCAAAGGTCTTCGAGACGAAGCGTCTTTCCGAGGGTGAGTCTCATGACCCACTCGTGGAGATTTACCTGAATAACGATTTAAAATTGTTGTAAATAGATTCCGTCACACAAGTCCTTAAAATCTCTAATAAAATAATATCATAAGTACTGCATTTCATTGAAATTTATCATAGCTGCAAAGTTTTGTAAACAGTATACCTACTGTATAGGTAAACAAAAATATATTATTTTGTTAATAAGAGATTAAAGAAGAATCGAAGATTAAAAAACTAAAATATATTAGCAACATATAGTATGTACTATGTAGTACTTAGGGATTTTTTTTGACATTTCCAACGCCGTAACTTTTTTTAACACCCAGTTACGTGACCACCAAGTGACTATTTTTACCTTAAAGTCACTTAACAATATAAAACAATGTTACGTAACACGTAATACAATAACCCGCCCCTTAATTAGTTATGTAATACTTGAACACTCCTATATGAAATATGTATTTAAAAAAATCTACGAAGATTTCCAAAAACTTACCAGGTGTCCTAGTATCGTTGGGCTGTAAAGCAGCCTTCCGTAACGGCGGTGGGCGGTTAGCATTCGTAACGGGCGCGGGTCTACGTCCGCGTGTACGCAATTCCCCTCCCCCACCGCTCTCAGACAGTTCCAAAGCGTACACGTGACGCGCCAACACACGGGTCAGGGTTTCCATTGTTTTCTGAAATATTAGTTATTCTCAAACATTAATGTTACTATCCATTTAAGTGGCATGATTCAATTTCATTTTTAAGTCTTTGAATATGTTTTCAGTAGAAGCAATAACTCAGATCAATTTTTGCTATCATAAAGAAAACAGTAGTAATTAGTTAATTTTTAACTAAAAAAGCAGCAAGTTAAAGTTTTGAAATCTTCTACTTGTCCCTTTGTCTTTAAAGATTAGTTCCCGTTTTCATATTAAAATACACTTACTGCCCACTCCTTAATTAGATCCTCCCAGTGAGTGAGCCTCGTCAACAATTCCATGAAACTTTGCCATAAGTCCGCCTTGACGGCGACATTCAGATTAGCTTTAATCCACGTCACAATTAATGTCTGGAACAACGCTGGGGCTAAATGTCCTCCTACAAACAAAATTACATATGTATTTTCAATACAAAAACCTAAATTCACCCTTAACAATAGTAATTAATAATTTTTGCGTCGGATATCCGTATCTATACGTACAGTACTTCACATATGTCAAAAACGTATTTTTCTTAATGCAGCAGGAGGCAAACGGGCAGGAGGCTCACCTGATGATAAGTGATAAGAATTGGCACGCTGTTTTCTTGAAGGACCCTAAGTGGAATTGGTTCGGAAATACTTCAGTGGGCAGCTGGTTCAACATAGTGGTAATGCGCGGCAAAAACTGCCTTAAGAAACGCAAAAATTGTTTGTATTATGACATACGGTACTCATACTAAGCGCTAAGATTCGACTTTTTATTATATTTATGCTCTCAAACAACATATGCTAAAATGTGGAAATCAGATACTTATGATAATATGTAAGAAAAAGGATATACAGTGTGAAAAGTTAGGCAGGCGGCCTACCTACCTCCCAATCCCCGCAATATCGTAAGACACAACTCTTTGTATCGAAGAATATACAATGTATATACATAAATATCAATTATGTAGGAATATAACAAGGCAAGAGAAAATAATAAACACTGCCAGGTTGCTAACACGACTCGGCCAATTCCAATTTTCCTACACCATATCGGCGAGTGTTAACTGATAGAACGAATACCATGTTTTAGAATCACGCTACGAATTTTGTACTTACCAAGTGATTCCTGTTTCTTTTTGGTCGGAACTTTTGTTAGAACGATAGACGTTATTTGAAGGAGTACCAAGAGAAGTTGTTCCCTGAAGAAATAAATTTGCTTGTACTCTTTCATATATTTAAAACATCATACGCAATACACATTAAAATAATATTAAGAACAATTCAAATAATCGATACAGAACTATAAACCTGGCGCAATTAATACAGTGTTAAAAAAATAAAGAACAATTCCAATAATCAGTCAACATAATTTACCTTCGTATACGTAGTCGGTCCCAAAGTTCTGTCATAATTGGAAATAATGATAAAAACAAAAGTATTGATCAGTTTTTAATGAGTGATATATCAATTTATAGTACATTAATTAAAGATATATAATTAAAATATAATTCCAAAGGATTAGGGTCCGGACTGGAGGAAGGCAAATTCAAAAATAGAATGCAATAATTTTTTTATAAAATCACGTTCGAAATTTAAAAACAATGTGCCAGTGACAGATCTTTTGGACCAACTACGTACAAACTTGTCCTCATCCAAAAATGATGTTATATGATGATATAATGATATGAATGAAAATCTCTATAACTACTAAACCGTTTTTCATGACATTTTTCAGTTTTTGAGAAATTTGTAGAAAAAATATGGTGTATGGGTAATTTCGGAAGTGAAATGTTGGAATGTTTGTCCACAAATTTCAATAATATCATATTTGTACATGTCAAAGTGGTAAATCGGACAAACAGTTTAGTAACTATACTGATAAAATATATCTTACCAAGAGCGGTCATCCATACCGACGTGCATCACCATATATCTATATATATTGAGCACTCTCTTGCACGTATCGGTCTGTTCTTCTAATAATTGGTGAGAGGGTAGACCACCAGGTGGCGCTACACTCGTACTTGACACAAAGACGTTCGCGGCTTGCGTCATGAATATTTGCAATACATTCTAAAAAAAACAATCAAGTATAATGTGCTATAAGATTATTCTTTTTCAATATTTATAGTTTTTATATCTATAAATATATATAATACTAGCTGACCCGACAAACGTTGTTTTGCCATTTATATTATTTCTAAGAAACATTGTTTTCGTTCAATAAAAATAAAAAGCTACAATAAAAAATAGGAGTGAAAATTAAGGCTTGTATATATTTTTGTGTGTCATAAAAAAATAAAAACAAAAAAAATTGTCTAAAAATTAAAAAAAAAAATGTTTCGGCTGGACCCCTCATCACTTAGGGGTTTGATAGATAGTATACGATTCTCAGACTTACTGAATATACATAAAACATTTCATAAGAATCGGTCGAGCCGTTTCGGAGGAGTATGGGAACGAACATTGTGACAAGAGAATTTTATATATTAGATCTTAATAAGTTGAATTCGTTTGAAATGTAGGTGTGTACCAAGTCAAGTCAAATCATTTATTTCAATTATACCACCTAAAATGGCACCTTTGAACGTCAAATAAAATATAAAGAAGATTCTAGTAGCGATTCTAATAGCATTATGTTTCTATTACCGAAACATAGTGTGTACGCATAGGTTCTGGGTCCGCTTCTCAACGAAACATTTGTGGCGATATATTAGCAGAATACAATGCGCAGAGGCTATGAGAACTTGGAGAACTGATCGTGGTTAGTAACACAGAAGGCAAAAGATCACGTCGCCGTTCACCAACCAGATGTACCGATCAAATGAAAGACTCATCGTCCTCAAAACTGTACACTATCAATGGAGAGGCTCTGGACAGAAACCGGTGGAAACAGAGTCCGCTCCAGGTGCTTCGTTGCTGACCATTCGCTCATCATTTAATTGCCTTAAAAAATGATCAATGAAACGCATACAGAAATTAAGGTACTCTGTTGTGAGAGGCTGTTTGGTTACAACTAGGCATTATAGTACTGTGACTAGGCTTACAATCTCTTCATAAAAAAAATTGTCTGAATCACAAGAAAGCAAGATGAAGAAAATATGAAAACTGAAAGGTTTTCATTATACTTGTTTTAAAACTGAACTGACCTGCAGGCCAGCTCTGACCATAACATTATCCCTTCCCACTGCTCCCAAATATGAGTCGTTCCTCAATCTACGAGGCGGCACTTGCGGCTCACCACCCGCCTGCTGATCATATATATTCTCCAAAAGAAATGGAGGAATTTCCGTCACCTGCCATTGTTAATGGAAATTAATTTGGAAATGTACTGTCTAATCAATTAGCACCGATTGATTATTTTAAATTAATTAATCTATTAATGAAGATAAACATTATTACTAACACAATAAAAAACATATGGACTTATCATTGCCTGCTTGGATAAATTATTATTATAAGAAAACCGGCATTTCTTAAACCCCGCATACGACATGTGCCTATAAAAAAAGAACCACAAAACAAATTCATACACCATTGAACCACTGGAATATCACTAAGAGGCCGGCAACACCCTCGCGTCCCTTCTGGCATTAAGAGTGTCCATTTGCGGCGGTATCACTTAACGTCTGATGAACCGAAGAAAAAAAGAACTCAATAGATACTTAATATTAGAATTTATATATACTTTGGTTATTATTACTAGAGTAGAACAAAATCAAAAGAATCTTACGTTCATCTGTATCCAATCTTTATAAAGCGCAATAACTCTTCGCACAGCAGCTGCGTGTGAGAATGGCAGTAGAAAAGCCTGTCTCAAAATCTCTATTGTAAAGTCAACGTGTTCTCTTGAAGAACAGCACAAAACATCGCGTACCACTTGGTCTGAGGATAGCTCTTCATATATTCCTGCCCCTATTTTGACAAAAAAATATGTTATATGATTTAGATGTACAATGTTTTTAAAAAAAAAATTATATTCCACAGTTTTATACCTGAATCCAGACTAGGGTGTGGAGTGTTAGAGGCGGAATCGTGTGATGAAGCTCTACTGGAGTCCGAGGGCTGTCCCACAGTAAATGAAGTCTCTTCCTCATGATGTAATGAAGTTGCCGGTGTGGGTGTATTTGAATGTACTATGTGCGATCCTGTACTCGTCATAGAAGAGGGCTGACCGCCCTCGCTGCCTTGTTTCTTCATGAAATGGGCGTAATTCGCAACCCATTTTATCAATATTACTCTGCATATTGCTAAGTCATCTTCTAGTATATTGTGTTGAACTGGCAAATCTGAAAAATTAAATAAATAATTTAGCTTAAGGTTTTATTATTAAAATCTTAATATTTGGTCTCACTTACCAAGATTAGGTTTATATAATGAATTCTTATAATTATACTGTGGACATATTGCTGGTAAATAATACATTTTAAATTTCTCTAACAGGAATGCAAAACTTCTCATCGCTTTGGCGTGTGATCTGTCCTTCCACTGCACTTTAATGACAGTTGTAGCCATACTATCAAGTAGTATTTCAAAATAGTGTTTTGTCTCATTTTCTATAACTTTCTCACTGGCACTTGGAGGTAACAGAGGCTGTATGTCAACACTTTGGACGGGATTTAATGCGTTTGTATCGTGAAATATTGATGCAGACACATTTGCTAATTTTCCCATGAATCCAGTAGGTGTCTGTTCGACTACTACTTTTTTCGGATTTTCCATTAAACTAAAATTTGGATGTTGCAATATATCATCTACTTTGAATTCATTAGATTCTTGTGATATATTTGTCGCTAAGTCAAAAACCTTTGGTTTGAATGGTGAGCCAATGGGTGGCAGACAAGAATCAGGTAATCCAGGTACGAGAGATGCAAACATTCTATGTACTTCTGGTGGAGCATTATCACCAAGGGCTTGATACCATAATAGAAAAAATCTAAAAGTGTTAACAAAATTAATTAATATATCATCTATTATTTTTAAAACATTTGGTGGTGGTGTAAAAACTATAACACTAACCTTATTGCATCTGCCCTAAGTTTATGTGAATTTCCTCCATGGAGGAGTTTTGAAAATATTCTTGTCAATGAGTGAAGTTGCCATCTTTTACCTATCAACTCTGGTAAAAGACATAAAACTTTTTCTAAAAGTGACAATGCACCTTCTAACTCTTCTTTACCAGCCTTGTGCACTAAAAAATTGTTAATTCAAAATTGTCAGTGATATCACAATAATCCTTTACTGTATATTAGCAGATAATAAATCAGTCCTTTTTAAAGCTATCTCAGAATGATTTTGTTTCTAAGCAAATGAGTCACATATCTTAAGCAGACATACAGAATGTAAGCAGCACTACAACTTGCAACAACATTGACCTTCATCACATAATTTACACAACCATGACACACACATGACAAAGTGAATTTGTTACTTGATGAATAATGAAGGGCGAAGGCTAATCGGGAATAATGATGTATAAAGCTTTATTGGTTATGTCATTGTTTGTATTATTGAAATAGCTTCTTTATGTATTTATATCTATACATTGTTTACGGTCCACCAGAATAATAAATAATATATTTATTAAGAACGAAAGCGAGTCTTCGGCGCCTTAACCGAACCAACTGACTAAGGGAAGACAACCCTGACAGAAAATCACAAAAAAAAAATGGAAGCAAAACCTTAAAATAGTATACCCCAGGAGGGTACCGGTGTAGCCGGAGAATCCCTCTCTGAGCTTTGCTCAGGCTGTCCCACGTATTCTGGGGGGGGGACAAAGTTTTGCTAAACAAAGATACACTCGCAGAAGAAACCTGTAAGAGGGTGGGAATCCAGGCCCCCTTACCAGTAAATGCTACTGGTCCTAATGTGAAGGATAAAAAGCTAGTTCAGCAAGCCTTTCATCATGGCTTATTTCTGACCCGACCAAGAAGCTCATCTCTAAGTTCAGTAGCAGATGTTAACATCCAAAGCCCGACAGCTCTATTGAATAGAGTGCAGACAAATTCTAAAGACATTTACATAGACAAACAGAATCCTCCTAACTGGCAGAGAGCACCGACTCTAAGGAACGCCAAAAGGAAAAAAGTTTCCTCACCATCTCCAGATAGGATACCAGTTTCCAACCAATTCAGCGTCCTTCCACAAGATCAGAAAGCAAATAATGATGTAGAACAAACTAAAAAGATATCTAAACCTCCACCTATAATCCTATATGGTATTGAAGACCTAGCCAAACTTACCGGACTCCTGGAATGTGCCGTAAACAAAACCGACTTCGTCTACAAAATAATGAACCAAAACCAGCTGCGCATTAATTGCGCCAACGTGGAGGTTTACAAAAACATAATAGACCTTATTCGGAAAAAAAAACTGATCGGACATACATTTAACAGAAAAGACAAAAAACCGTATAGAGTGGTTATCAAAAACCTACATTATTCAACTCCTATCCTTAAAATAAAAGAAGCACTGGAAGACACGGGAAACATAGTGATAGGAGAAATAATAAATGCAAAGTATGGACCTGAAAAGAAACCTACATCTACATTTTTGCAACCCTAGAACAAAGTCCGAGCAACAAAGAGATAAAAGGTATAAAGTACATAAACCACCAATCGGTCGTTATAGAGGAACCACGAAAAAGGAACTACATAGTTCAATGCCAAAGATGTCAGCAATATAGTCACTCTAAAAATTTCTGTATGAGGCCCTATCGCTGCGTAAAATGCGCGCAAGCACATAGAACAGCAGACTGTCCAAAGCCTGATCGAAGCACTCCAGCAAAATGCGCCTTGTGCCTCGGTGCCCATCCAGCCAACTTTAAAGGCTGTGAAGTATATTTAGAAATTTTATCGAGAAAATCTAAAAGGCAGTATCGCATCTAGGATAAATCAGCTATTATCCAATGCAAATCATAATAATTATCCGGAAAGACAACGCAGCTCTAATCAGATGGCACCTGAGATGAATACACTACCACAGTTAGAAAATAATAAACCTATTGGTGACAAAAACTCCCAGTCACTATCACAACCACAACACTTATCTAGGAACAAGGAAAGACCTAACAATGGAAATATCAATGGACCTATCAATCGATCAAGCTACGCCGATGTGATAGGATCAAACCAGAATGCTTATAATACACCAAAACCTACAATGGAAGAAATTTTAGTCAAACAAGCTGAAAAGTTTGATCTAATCGTACAACAAATGAGCACTTTAATCAATTTAATTACAACACTAGTCACGAAAATGTCCAAATGACTTCCCTTAAGATAGCTACCTGGAACCCAGATGGGCTATTGCCTAATCTAGAAGAAGTAGAAGTACTACTACACACACACAACATAGACATATTATTAGTGTCTGAATCTCACCTTACAGAAAATAACAGAGTCACATTACGTAATTTTAATATTTATGCTACAAACCATCCCGACGGCACATGCGGGAGCAGCTATAATTATAAGTTCAAATATCAAACATTATGAACAACCACAGTTTCAGAAACCCTACATACAAGCTACAACGGTTGCAGTTATAGATAGAAACGGTACGTTTAATGTATCCGCCATCTATTGCCCCCCCAAGCACACTATAAAAGAAGAACATTTTGAAGAGCTTTTTATATCACTGGGGCAGCGATTCATAGCAGGAGGTGATTGGAATGCCAAGCATGTTCATTGGGCCTCTAGGCTAACGACAACAAGAGGCAGAGAGCTTAAGAAAAGTATAGATAACCACAATCTCACAGTGATTTCAACGACGGACCCGACCAACTGGCCGACTGACTCAAACAGGCTTCCGGACGTCATAGACTTCTTCGTCATGAAAGGCCTGTCTAGACTTTCTTACCAAATACAAACTTGTTTAGACTCGAGTACAAACCATGTTCCAGTTATATTGACTGCTTTGAGCAAAGAACACAACCTTAAATTGTACAATAAACGAACTAATTGGAACTCATATCCAGAACTGGTCCATGACAGACTAGACCTAAAAGTTGCCTTAAAAAGTGAAGCAGACATTGATCACGCAACTCGGTTACTAACCGAAGTGATCCAAGAAAGCTGCTGGATGTCCACGCCCGAACTCACTGCTCGTCCGCCACAGAGTAAGACCTACTCGGACACCATACGACAAAAAATATTAGAAAAACGAAGGCTACGTCGAATATGGCACACTAGTAGACTGACATATGACAAAACGGCGCTTAATAAAGCGATACGTGATTTAAAATCCCTAATATCCAAAGCTAACGAAGCAGCCTTGAGTAAACACCTGGAAGGATTGACATCAACAAAAGCAACCGATTACTCGCTTTGGAGAGCCTGCAAAAACCTAGCTCGACCACTACACCAAAAGCCACCACTACGAACGCAGAACGGGCAGTGGATAAGAACGGAACGAGAAAAAGCTGAAGTTTTTGCTAATCATCTTAGTCATGTATTCAAACCGAATGACCCCAGTCCTAATGTAGATGAATCGGATATCGAACTAATCATTGACCAAGACCTGCAACTTGATCTACCATTAAAACTAGTGACACCACGGGAAATTAATCGCAACATCAAATCAATGGACAATAATAAAGCACCGGGCTATGACTTAATAGACAAAAAGGTCCTCGAAGAATGACCACGCAAAGTGATAGTGTACCTTACAATGCTATTTAATGCAATCCTAAGAGCTGGGTATTACCCAGACTTATGGAAGGTATCACAAGTGACTATGATCCACAAACCTGGAAAACCTATTCACGAAATCACATCATATAGACCCATTAGTCTGCTGCCTATTATGTCCAAATTATTTGAGAAAACCCTACTACACAGAATGCTGGACATAATAAAAGAAAAGCATATCATACCAGATCATCAGTTTGGCTTTAGGCAAGAACATGCCACAATAGAACAAGTCCACAGAGTATGTAGAAAAATAAAAAACTCCCTCGAGAGGAGAGAATACTGCTCATCTGTATTTCTTGACGTACAACAAGCCTTTGACAAAGTGTAGCATAAGGGTCTTTTGTTTAAAATTAAATCCTTATTGCCACACACATTCTATAGGATCCTACAATCATACTTGTCTAACAGAATATTTCAAGTTAAAGAAGGTGCCAGCACATCCGGTTTTTACGAAATTTGCGCAGGTGTGCCACAGGGCTCAGTCCTCGGACCCGTCCTGTACACACTGTATACACACGACTTACCACAGAGCCCAGAGATTACTATCGCCACCTTCGCTGATGACACGGCTCTACTTACCTCCAACAGAAGTCCCATTCTGGCCTCTAAAATCTTACAAAATGGCTTAAATAAAGTAGAAGGCTGGTTGGCCAAATGGAGAATTGCAGTTAGTGTGTCCAAATCGGTGCACGTCACCTTCACGCTCCGAAAGGAAGACTGCCCCCCCGTCACTCTAAATGGCACCCAATTACCACATCAAAATACAGTCAAATATTTAGGAATGCATTTAGACCGCAGACTCACCTGGAAAAAACATATTCAAACAAAGCGAGACGAAATTAATCACAAATACAAGGGTCTCTACTGGCTAATGGGACGAAATTCAAAACTATCCACTGACAATAAGTTGCTTTTGTACAAAACCATTCTCAAACCCATATGGACATACGGAATACAGCTTTGGGGATCTGCTAGTGCCTCAAATATAATAATAATACAAAGAGCTCAAAATTACATACTCAAGCAAATATCAAACACCCCATGGTTTCTCAAAACTACAGAAGTCCATGAATTTCTTAATATGCCCATGGTAAAAGAGGAAATAATCACACATGGGTATAACTACAAACTAAGACTTCAAAAGCACCCCAATCAGCTAGCAGGACAGCTAACTATACCAGAAACTACTCGCGACTAAAAAAGTGGCGAGACATTTTTGACCAGGACAACCCAACAGACTGAGTTTAAATAAGAATAGGCAGGCTCCGCTGGGAGTAGCGCCTAACACGTCAATAAGCTCTCAACGTATCTACTTATAGTCGCAAAGACTGATTGTATGATTAATATTTAAAAAAAAAAAAAAATATTATTTATTATCCTGGTGGACCGAAAACAATGTTTAGTTTTTCTTTCCACTAAACTATTTTAAGCTTTTTTTCATAAACTATGTATATTGTATATAATAATGAAAATACAATAAATTAATATAAAATGTATCTGAAAAAATTACAAATGACTATAGTTGTTGATCATGATTAGAATAGATAATTACAGTATACCAGTTAATGATGATATCAATATTATTCAATGAAGTGCAAATGTCAGTGAATATTCATTATTCATTATGATTTTACAAGCACCAAAACTCACCAAGATGGAACGGAAGTTCTGTATGGCAAAACAGAAGAATATCAGTAGAAGTACAGCAATATTTATACAAATTCTATACACTATTTAAAAATATCTGTTCTATTTAAATCCTTATTTTTGTTGACATTAAAGCTGATTGTTACAATTAGAAGGAATTAAATAATAAGAGGGTTGGCAATAAATAGAAAAATACTAATAACTAATTCATTCATTTTAATAACCCAAGTACTAAAAGTGATTTTTAATAAGCTACAGTTACAGCTAATTTAATATTTGAGAATCAAAGATATCAAATCAAAAATATAAGACAATCTTACCTCTTTGTCGTAGATTATTTTCGGCTAAAATAAAGTTGTCATAGAGAATAAAGTAAACATGACTAAAATTGGCCTCAAAGTATGTTTTTGCTTCATCTGTTTCAAAGTGCTCTGAAAAATTTGTTTTATTTGAACATTCAAGTTTCATACAAAATCTAACAAATATGATTTCACTGTATTAACATAAAAGTTATCAGAAGTAACAATACTGTATATTCTAAATAAAACATTGACTACAAATCATTATGAATGTTTTTAGTCACGATAATATAACAGAAGAACAAAAATTACAGTTATTCTCATCTAATTAACATGTAGAACGGAGTAAAGACGCTATGTGTTGTGGCGAGAAAGTCGTAAATAAGGTAATCTTCATCTCTATGTATATTGTGAATGCCTTACCTAAAACTATCCTCAAGTGTTTTAATCGGGTGGTAGAGTCTTTCTTTGAATCCTGAATTTTAACTGTTGATTTCTTGACATCTTGGTGTGATTTTTTTGTAAACATTGTAGTCAGTTGTTAAAAAAATTATAAAGCAGTTTTATTCATTGTAGGAGTAGATCAATTTATTTTCACATGTTTCAAAACCATTAAACTGCACTGTGACACTACGTCTCTTATGAATTTTATAAGTTCTCTTATTTACATTATCCAGTTTTCACTTTGTCACAAATACTGATGAATTGATGATTGATCATTGGAAAATGGAAAACCGAAAATATTCTGAAATTGTTTGTGTCAAAAAGCACGTCAAATGACAATGACAGAATGAAAGCTGACGTAGGCAAATGGAACATCATTTTTCTGCGATGACATTGACACAAGGTCACTAGATGGTGCTCTGTGTAATCACACAGGTCTAATAAAATAATTTCGACGCTAAGTTTTGTTTCAAAATTAATATTTTTCCTGTTCTACATTTTCAAGTGCTTAAGATTATAATGCGATCCACATTGGAATTCGGACCTGTTATAAAACTAAATTTCCATAACTAAATAAAATTAATGTAATTTACGGTTTTACGCTTTTACGCCGAGATCGATAAACTCAGTTTGAAGATCCTTGAGAAAACAAGGATTATATAATTATAATACCCGTCTATATTTGTCTATAAGACTATAAACAAATGTAAGTTACGTAATTTTTATAATGTGTAATTGAACATGAGTACGTTTGTTGGCAAAATCAGCGACGTACTTAAACTAAAATATAATCAATACATATTCGAATACTAATTATATAAAAGCTTAAAATTTCCTACGACTAAATATTTGTAAATTAACTTAAAAAAGCAAATATTCGAAGGTTATCTTATTTTATTTGTTATTCAGAGGGACCGCTTAATGAAAATTGTTGAATAACAGCATATGCGCGAGAAACTAAATTTAAAATTTTAATTACGGTTTATATCGTACCATGAAGAATAAATTCAAATTCAAAAATCATTTAATCATATGGGTAACACATTGTACACTTATGACTTGTCAGTAAAGAAATACATATTAACACGTTCACTGCGTAACAGGCCGATATCGGCCTGCCGCGGTATTTCAGCTGGTGCGGACGAAGAAATCTATGTCCCTCTCGCTGGTGCGTAACGATTATCTCAGGTGTTTGTAAAAATTCGACAGGGACAAATATATATTTCATCTTGCGGTCAAAATTGTAGGTGTTCCCCATCAAAACATAACGGCAGGCTTTTATCGACCTACCACGCACTGACGCTGCTGTGCATCCACTGAGAGTTAATCTATCCTAGTGCTGTTGGGTCTAGAAAGACCTGCCACGCACTGGCGGAAATATCATTGGGGGCGCATTTTGGCCCGCCGCCGCACCTGATGAAGAATTATGATTTTACTTGCCGCAGTGAACGTGTTAATGCTTCTAATTTTACATTTAGTGCCAGTTCTCAAATCAAGGGCGTAGAACAGAAGAGAAGAACTGGCAATAAACTCTCCGCCACTCTTTTTAATCGCCATGTTTTTTTTTTGTTACACAACGTTTGCAAGGAGCTGCAACCATTAAACCATGTTCCACATGACATCTTAAGTAATTAATAATAATAACTATTATGTATGATAAGACGAGGTTAGGGTAATTTTTCACTTCTCAAAGTTTCGATTCGTCCTCAAGAGTGAACTTAATTCTTACCTAAGGAACCTAAGTCATTTCCGTAACTGGTTTCTTCATACAAAGCTATACTTTTATTTGATTATTGGATGACCGTGAGTTCAATGTATAGAGATTACGTAGAATCATTCCGATCCCTACCTCCTCGCGAAATAGCCGTTTAATTATAGCACGAACAATATATAACATATCGTGTATTGGCCAATATGTTTTATTACAATATATTATTTATAATATTTGTGCTTAGTGTGAAATCAGCGAGAATATTAAAAGATACAATTGGTTTTCCGGAATCTGAAGAGAATGTTAATTTAGTAAATAGAGAGGTAAGAATATTTTATTGTAGACAATATTTAAACCGTTATTATTAGCGTTACTTTATCGCATATCGCAATACTAATATCTTAGTTCTGTTAGGACTTATTAATGCTCTTTACAAATAGGTAGGTTAAGCAATGTAATAAAAAGATTATATCGCACCGTTTAGTTACATTTATATTTCTTACACGCAAAGAATATAATTGAACTAGGTATATTTTTTGTTTCAGAATCGTCATCCAATTTATTTGCCATCATTATGCGGTGAAAACGAACTTTATTATCCCGGAGATCAAAAGGACGACTGGATATGCGATTGTAGGCCTGGTTAGTAAATAATATTCTGTTTAATTAATATTATACCGTGTTTTATTTAGACGAGTTCCAATTATTATCATTCACAGTCGAAGTTGACGTCAGTTGACATCAGAATTCTCATCTTTGATAATAATTTTTGCGTTATAGACAAGTAGGTGGTTTTTACTAAGCATTCAATTTTTATTACCGATGACGATACGACGCTTCGGTTTAATTTTGCATTGATTTTAACGGAATAAAATACATTATCGGAATAATTAGAAAAATAATAAATATAAATTTAAAGTCAAAGTCAAAAATCATTTATTCATGTAGGTAACACAATGTACACTTATGAACGTCAAAAAAGAAATATACAATAAATGCTTCTAATTTTACATTTACTGCCAGTTCTCAAATCAAGGGCGACATTAAACATTTGAGGTTGCATAATAAGCAAACCGTGATCACTTATAATTAAATCATTTAAGTAATGTAAATAAAAATACAGTATATGAAGTAATTATAAATAGTATATTATGTAGGACTGTGTAGAAATCTAATAGTTCAAAAGCAAACACAAATAAATAAAAACGTGTTTATTTATTATAACAATGCATTTCAATGTGTAAAATCTTTTAATTAAAAATGACCTGTTTTTTTGTTTAAAATACAATTTAATAGTAAATGTATGTCAAATTCTAAAAATAATTAGCGTATTATGTATTTTTAATAGTATAATCTACACACAATGCTTTGATTACATAAAAACTCCCACGCTGTGGTTGTTATTCTGTTTTTGGTATACGCCTCTGCCTGTTGTAATTACACGAAGACAAAAAAACGCGATTCAATGACCGGTTCTAAACTAAAAACTATTGTGAATACGAATAATTAGTGATTCGCTGCTTATAAACTTCCTCAAACAAGCACTAACTTGTAGTTTCCGTCATACAATTCTTGATAATTCAGACTCGATAATATTAAGCCAGAACGTTCGTAGGACCTTTTTCTAAAAACTATCAAGGAGGCATGAAGTGGGTTACTAATGATACATGACATACATTTTTTTGTTAGTTTCTAATGAGTTAACTCGGTAAATATTAGCAGCGGTACTTAAAATAGTGAAGTACCTACGAGTAGGTACTTAATGTTATCTATAGTGACGCAGCTAAGCGATAGTTATTATTGCATCTCAATAGTATGTATTCTATACATTCCTTAACTATTGCGAATCGCGCATACATCACACTGAATACGATAAATTAAATTTATAGGAATTACCACTGTCAAGAAAGACATCTGAGGACTTCGGTCCTCCTGGAAACGGTGGACTGCGTGTTTCGCCAGAGAAAGGCGAGACTTGCCGCAGTTTGATAGTTTGTGGATTACGGAGGGAAAACAAATTATTTGATTTCCCTAATTGCCTCAAAACTATATCATAAAATCTGATAAATGCCAAGAAGCTGATTGCTGATGGTTAAAATTTAAAAAAAAATTGATTATATTGGTACAAAATATTAATAATACAAATTAATGTTTTAACATTTAAATAATAGGAAAATTTTATTTACAATCACGTATACAGTAGGTATTTATAATTTTCTTAACCTACAAAGTAATCATAATAATTATTAAAAATAAAATCAAAACAATTTTAAAAAGTTTGGTCCCTGTGGCAGTGTACCTTTAACGCTGGCAGTTTTTCCTTGCTGTGTTGCGATACTTATTCGTTGAGCCAGGAAAGTGACAGCTCTGGGGTCACCGGTACTATCTACTAGGCGCCAACTTAAATCTTTAATAAGCAAAATTTTTACTATTATATTGAAATTTAATCCGCAAGGCAAAATTATTCCTAACAGCTAAGATTTCGACGAAAGTTTTTATTTTCTTTACATGACTATTATTCAACGTCATCGAGAGAGCTGCAAAATATACTCGAAGTATAGTAATAATGTATTAAATTCCCGTTTCTATATTATTTTAATTCCATACATGTAACCAAAGACAATAATTGTAATTAATAAATATTTAATGTATTTCAGGCTACTTATACTATCCAGAAAAGAACTCCTGCTGGCCAGCATTTAGACGTGGTCCATGCTCCAGCGATGAGCACTTAGTTTTACGTCTCAACTCCGTGATACCAATCTGTGTCACCAATCCGTGCGTCGATGGATTTGTGATGTGGAAGGGCAGATGTGAGCGCCTCGGTTCCACAGGCCCCTGCCCAAATGAATTTCCTCCCGCTGTTCTATGGATCAATGCTACAACAATTACAGTTGAATGTATAGCTCTTAATTTTGACAACAGATACGATACGTATACGTCAATAGAAATGTGTCTCCCGGGTTGTAAGAGACACGTACAAAGTATGTGTGTGCCGCGTATTATGTAAATATGTATTATTAGTATAAAGGAAAGAAATAGTGTTAATATTTATTGTAGTGTATAAAACGATGACTAATGATTTATAACGTACATTGTGTTTTGTAATTCCTTATAGAACCGCGTGCAAGTTGGCGTCTAGTCTGTTGCCATGGCGACCGGAATTTTGTATACTTGCATCGAGCTTTGTTGTTCTCTGTGAATTTATTACATTCATTATTAATTAAGAGTTAATACGTTTATATGTAGAGATAACGAGTGATATAAATAAAATGATGATATGGAGATTATTGTTGTGGTAAGTTTTATGCAGATATTAGAATTTGAGCATAGAATTATCTGATAACGAATATGTTACAGTCGTTACAATTATTTTGTTTTTCTTAGGGACCTTTGTAATACATCATAAACGCGAAAACATATAGGTTATATATATATGAACAGTGTAAAAGAAGGTTCGTTTGACGGAATCCCAGTTTTCCTTAATATTTTTGAATAAATTATTAATGAAATTAATTTAAAATTTTTCATTTGTTAAAAATTATCTGTATTAATTTAATTTAATTATTATCTAATAAATCATAAGAGCATGTATTTTTTATATTTTCAATTTACATAACCCAAAAATTATTAATTTCAATTTCACATCCGCGTAGCAAGCGTAATTAGCCATTAACTTTTTAGCTAAAACTCATTTGGGTCATTAAAAATAGAACGTGGTCCGGTGGTCTCACCTCAAGAAAGCCCGATTCGTTCAATTAATTTCCATATAATCGCAAGCTTGCTATCGCAATTGATCGGTGACCCACATTTACAAGTTCTCCAGTTCACCACTGCCCATCAGCCCTGATTAGCGACCCCTTTGATTACGACCTTCAATGTTTTTACGTCTTGAGATTGATGAAGAATGAAATTATGATTTTATGTTTTAACCTGTAATCTAGGACCTAAAGTTCCCATTTTTTAAATTTACAATACTTGTCACTTGTGTCTTTGACAGTCTGCAGCTCTCAAAGGGATGAACCCATTATACATTGTTCATGTTTTAAACATTATACATTAATATTAAAACTCTACCACATCGTCTATAACTACGAGTTATATATAACAGTTTTAAGTCTAATAGTTAAATTTAAAGTTATAAAATTCAATTATGTAACTGCGCTATATTTTTTTAAGTGTTACTTTTCAAATTTCATCTGTTCTACCATCTCTTTACATTTTAATAAATCTAATGCAACTAAGTTCACTTTAATTTCTTTACGCATCAGGATGTCGACGTGGACATGGTACACACAAGAGGCAAATATCGTGAGACAAGGTAGGTCAGGGGGCACTTGCTTGATACGTAACCTAGTTTCAATATAAAATCGTTCTCTTGAATTATAATTTATTTCCCGTCAGTAAAACTGAAAAGTGTATCGGATATACATCGGTATATTTCAGCGAAGAAACTGTCAGTGTCACTGATGATCATTTGAGCTATGAAAATAAATTTCTTAGGATTTGGATTCAAAACTTCCAAGAGTCGCATCACTGTTATTATATGAAAGGGTTTGCTGACGGAATGACATTCCCGCGTGCTAGAGCAAAAAATGCTGTGCCCAGACGGAGTTATGCTCAGGAAAGGAAAGTCGGAGATGAAGGCTTAAATTGACTGTCCAGAGAGAAGTCGTAAGACCACTTCTTGGAGCTGATGAGCCTAATAGCGTTATAAGGGCAAACAGGAACTGTAAATCTTGTATCTGATCTCACCTCTTCACGTAATATAATTTACAGTAATGCAAAATCGTGTCAAAAGATATCATTAACTTGTTATCACTAAGTTGTGTGTTCAGACTTTAACATCAATTGAGAATAAAACACAACATGTTACATGAGATTGGGAAATCCCGCTAATTGATGTTTAGATTGGATTTACAGATAAGTGAATTTATGCCCAATACCTATGACTCATTCCTTGACCGTATCTCAGCGCTTTGGGTTGCAAACCTTCAATTTATACGATTCAAAATTGTATAACGATAAATATTTAACTTATTTAGATATACCTTTAATATTACTAATTAAGCTGTAATTGTGTGCAGTAAATGTACTACATATATTATTAGAGCACCTATAAGCTACACAAATTCATCTGATACAAGGCGAGTTACGTGAGCGATTACCATCGAAGGGGGGTGTAGGGTGACGTCACGCACACCCCTGCTACTAGTGCCTGCTGGCAAAACCAATCCAACACAGCACTTCCATATAATAACCTATAATAGATATGCTTCCCCCACAAATTTTACGATTTAACCTTGGATAAGGAATTCCTTCCAATGAGAGTTATTTAATTGAAGGCTTTTAGTAAATATTGTCTAAAAATAGTACATATTATAACTTAATTTATTGATTTTTTGTTTCCATCTAATACATAGATGAGAAAGTGGAGATAAAGAACTAAGTGAGTCGTGAGAGGAAAACTATTATTATAAATTGTAAAAAGAATAAAAGGTCTATCTGGTAACGGTCAATCTTCAGACCTCGTTTTTCTACAATAAATTAATAAAACGGTGACCTGGTTTTGTACAATAAGATTAGGTAGGCTATTGCGTGCCGCCCAAAGCCATTTTTGTCCGAATGGGCAGTGGGCGGCCACAGGCTCTACGAGGGTTCCACGGTCAGCACTCAGTCGACGCTTCGCGCCCTCCGCGCCCGCTCGTCGGGGCTCACATGCTTTCATAAATACACGTTACCTTATGGCGATCGACCACTAACCCTTATGGACAAATTTAGACCCGGAAGCCGGGGTGAACCCACCATCCCCAGTATACTTAAGAAACCAAAAGTCCAGAGTAATAGCGATCTTTTTGACAAAAGCTCTAAAATAAAACGTGAAAATGTTACGAGTAGACATGATGTGAACCTTCCACTCACCCAGGGTTGCACACCTTTGATGTATGCGTGTCAACAAGCTGATTATAAGACTGTGGTCGATATACTTAACAGAGATGTAAGTTTTTGGATTTATCTGAACTTCTTCTTAATATCGTAACTTTTAGGTAATAGTATTACCGTAGATAAAAGAAAAATGTACAATGCAGAGGTTGCACTTAAAAACAAAGTGTTATTAGAGCACGCGATGTAACGCGGATCGGCCGCGGGTTGCAAGTACGTGTCTTGTAAACAACCTGTCAACCTGTCCTTAAATGTTTCCCCTCGTCATAATAATTGCAATTTCCTTTCAATAAAGTTCTTTAGTAATTTTAGTTTTAATCTCTAAGTAATTTATTTGGTACAAATATCCCAAAGTAGTATCAGAAAACTATAACACGATGCATACTTTTTAGTGATAATGTACCTTATTCTCGTTACTTGAAGGATAAGTTAAATATGTGTTTAACGTAGCTCGACATCAGGACAACTGGGCGGTTGAATCAATCAATACGTACTACAAAACCTGACATTGTTCCCATAAACCGATACGATACGGTGAGAATAGTTTATATACCACGATTAGGTTGTTATTATCGTTACGGGTGTGTCTAACGCAGTAAATGTCTTCCTGAGTTTGTAGGTTGTCGATAATTGATGCATATGCCCATTTCCACATTCTTCCTCTCTAAGTAAGGCTTGAGATAGCAGATGTTACATATTTAATGAATTTAACTACAGGTAAAGTTGACTGTCCGGAGCTTCTAAGTAAGGCGTGTCTCCTGGACTCTAAAAAATATACACCCGTACCATAGGTGTTACCACCTAAAGTTAACTCCAATTATAAACAGCTTTATGGTTAGGGCGGCGAGCAAGTTTAACAATCTAACTTGTGATATTGACCTGTTCGCCCCAAGTGTGGTGTTGGCAAGGAGACCTATGACATCTGAGCTCCTCAGTAGAAAAAATAGTGAATCATAAGTTTTTATAAGTGACTTATAGTCATACTACCCTAAATGTTACTTAACTAATTTTCCTTAGTTTTTTGCTTTCTTTGATATATATAGTTGATTAAAATCATTTTATTGTTGCCAATCCACTTAATTATTAGTACGTAATTATATGTAAAGATTTGTTTAATGGCGTAAAAATAACATTATATTTAGTAAGTAAGTTAGTTATAAGCTTCTTACAATTTAGACGTATTTTATACAAGGATTTGTTTTTTAGCCATCATCGGTGCGCAAGCGTGATCGTGGATTAAGGTGCGCACTGCACTACTGCGCATCAAGTGGGCAAACGAACCAAAGTGCGCGAGCGGCGTGTGCAGACCGGGTTCTTATGGCTGCACCGACGTTGGCCAATGCTCGCGATGCAGATGGACTCACACCACTTCATCTAGCAGTGGTACATGGAAATGTACCCCTTGTCCAAACTCTGCTGGCGGCAGGAGCTGATGTCAATGCGAAAGATGATGAGCATCACACTGTTGTTCATTGGGCTACAGGTAACTTGGCTTCCAATATGCCTGACCCGCATTCTTGCAGTTTTGATAGAGAAAAATAAACAGTGGCGCGTCAACCTATTTATGTCTGGGCCTCAGATTTCTGTATATGTTTCATGATCATTTGTCAATCTATTAGGCAAGTAGGTGATCAGCCTCCTGTGCCTGACACTGTCGACTTTATGGGTCTTAGGCAATCCTCACGATGTTTTCCTTCACCGTTAGACTGAACGTTAAATGCGGAAATAGAAAAAAAGTCCATTGGTGCACAGCCGGGGCTCGAAACTACGACTTAAGGGATGATACAGTAGAACCTCGTTAAGCCGAACCTCGATAAGTCAAAAACCTCCAAATCTCGAAAAAATGTTTTGTTCCCTTCCCTTAAAACACCAAAACCTCCATTACTTGAAATCTTGACCCTCTGTTAATCGAAATAATCACCGAGTCCCTCCAAGCCATTTTGGTACATATTTTCACTCTATAACTCGAAAAATTAAATTTGACCTCTGTATCTCGAACATAGGAACGTTTTATTTTACAACCTTTACAACTTGATCATTTGGAATTTATTATCTCTATTGTTCGAA